GGTCATGCGAGAGATCGCCCTAGAACGGGTCGTCCACCAGTACAAGAAGATGTTAAATTGAATGTTCTACTAGAGCTTCAAGAAAATCCCCATTTACCCACCCGCCAAGTGGCGGCAAACAACGGAATAGTTCAAAGCTCCGTCTTAAAATATTTGAAATTGTACAAATGGCATCCGTATAAAGTGGTTTTGGTCCAACAATTAAACGAAGATGATCCTGACCGTAGGTTACAGTTTTGTGAAACCATGTTGCAACGCCTGATTGATGACGACGGATTCTTACGCAATATTATTTTTTCTGATGAGGCTACCTTTTATCTCGACGGCACAGTAAACCGGCAAAACTGTAGATATTGGTCTCCTGAAAATCCACACTGGAAAATGGAAACTCGTAGTCAGTTTCCACAAAAAGTTAACGTTTGGGCTGGCCTTGTTGCTAACCGCATTTTGGGTCCATTTTTCATTGAAGGCGCATTAACAGGTGAAAAATATTTTGAATTTTTAAGAGACGTTTTAGTCCCTGCACTTGCGGTGCTTTACCCAAATGACGTAGATCCCGATCTGCCCAATAACACGATATGGTACCAACAAGACGGTGCACCTCCTCATTTTGCAGTGATCGTTCGCAACTATTTAAACCAAATATTTGCTAACCGTTGGATTGGTCGAAGAGGAACTATCGAATGGCCCCCTAGATCTCCGGATCTCACTCCCCTAGACTACTTTTTATGGGGCTATTTAAAGAGCAAAGTCTACTTCAATAGACCAAATACCATTGAAGAATTAAAGGACAGAATTCGCAATGAAATTCGAGCCATTCAACCAGATATTCTTCATAAGGTTCTGCAGGAGTTTCAGTGGCGAATGGGATATTGCCAAGAAGTGAATGGAGGTCACTTTGAAAATTTCCTCTGATTTTCTTGTTTACTTTAATTATTTATCATTTGCACAGAAACCTTTTTTTATTTGTTAAAATTGTTGTTGATTATTACTTAAAAAATTAAACAAATTGCTCCTAAAATCTCTCAAAATGTTCGATAAGCTATTAAAAAACTTGACCCACTCGATACCTTGTATATGGTACATCCTTGAAACTTTGGAACCTAATAGACAGTTTAAGTTATGTATCGGACATAACGTATACGTAGAATTTGACCGTTGCGCATGCTCAAATTAATATCATGATCATCTACAATCAACTTAAACTGTCTATTATCTCGAAAACTTCCATCTTGAAGGTCATACGTTTTTGACATATTCGTACTCAGAAAAATGTGCTCTATCGAAATCCGTGGAAAAAAATATGGGTTGCCATTTAAAAAAATTGCCGATGACGTCATAGCTCAAAAACAAACAAAACAAAAAAAAAGTCGATGGCTGAAAAAAGTCACATTTTACAAACTAAAGTTGACGTGTCCGAGGATTTCCTGTCAAAACCCTTCAATAACGATTTATCGAATTTATTCCAAACTTTACGAGCTCAGTGTATAATTATATCTGTTTGTATATCAATATAATGATTCAAATTAAAATTGATATCTCTTAGTGTTAGCTGATTTGCTGTAAAAATATTTAAATCTTTAATATGTAAGGTCAAATGCAAAAATATCATTCATATGTTTCTTCCAAATGGTGGGCTTTTTATTTAAATTATTAAAATAAATTTCTTAAAAAAATCCAAAAGGTAATGATGAACTATTTCGAAACGCCAAATTGTTATTCATTATTTTCAAATTATTGTTGATATTTAATATTTTTTTTTTACGGATACATTAGTAAATATGAAGTATCGAAATTATTTGAATAAAGTTTTTCCAGTGTAAGTATTTTTAATGTATGAATCAGAATGCACAAATAATTTTATTTATCAACCACATAAATCACTCTCCACGTGACGTCATGCGCTCAACGAACCGATTTTAGTTCACGAGAATATCATATCTTCCAGTCTTTATATCATGGTGAGACTAATAACAAACAATCTGAACGATATAAAACTTGAAACCAGGCTGTTTTAAACACAAAGATGGTTATCTCTAAAAAAAAAACAGATAAAAACGGACTGTTTAATATAGTCATGTAACTATCGTGTACAGACGCATAATAACATATGATTTGTAAAAAGTTTATGATAAATATAAGTTATAAATTCCAATTTATTATGTTTTAAATTAACTGTAGTATATCAACATTTCAAAGTATCTCTGTCTATTTCTGCTACTTCACACGCAGAGCTTTTGCAAACTTGGTTTCCATTGTTATCGACGCATCTGCATGTTCCTCTTCTGCATTGTATTGGAGAATAATTTCCATTCACTTCACATGTAGGTTTCTCCACGGATGTGATTATGAGGTTTGCCCTCAAACAGTCTGAAAAGAACATAATTTAAGTCACTTGTGACTAACTTATTCAAGATAATGTTTAGTAAAAAGGCACTACACAAAATTTATTAACGCTAAAAGCTTACTGCAGTCCATTGCATCCGCTAAAGTTTTATTTTCTATCTTGTCCACGGCGGTAAGAACGCTTCCTTCTTTGTCTACGCATATTTTGCTAAAAAGTACATTATAAGCGGTAAAGAGAGTCAAAAATATGTTAGGCATGAGCTTACTGAGTCGAATTTTCCTGCACGGCTTGGTAACTGCCGTCCAGATCGCATTTTGGGAAAGTGTAGGAAAATACCAGGTCGAATCCATCATCTTTGTACATATTAACTTCTTCTAATATTGCTACGTACTCTTCCTCGCACTTTTTGTAGAATACGCCGTCTTCCTCTCCAGAAACTAACAATTAAAAACGGAATTATTGACAATATACTATGTTTAAGAAAAAATTTTAGATAGGTACTATTTCTAACGGCAGATTTTAGCTAATCAGTAAATATACAAGGTGATTCAATAACAATGGGAAATCCGAAATCAAATACTATTTGTACAATCGCTTAGGCGAAAGAGGATCTTTCGGTCCGAAATGTAATAACAGCGCCCCAAAAAGTATTTTGGTTGAGCAGGAAGAGGAAGTTTTGATTAGAAAGACCGGAAATTCAGGTATGAGTACTCGTCTTTTATGTACAGCAACGCGCATTAGTCAGCCTAAGGAGAAATTATATCCATTTCATTTTAGTCCCGTACAAAAGATCTTCCTGTCCGTTTACATTTTGTCCATTTTCTACAAAAACAGGAAACCAACTATCCTACTTTTTTGGAGAAAATCTTATTTACTGATGAGTCACGTTTACTCGCCGTGGAGAGATTTACTGACGAAATAATTATTTTTGGGATTATGGGAATTCGCATGGTGTGAAAGCTGAATGTTTGGTGAGATGTAATTGCCAATTTTCTTGTTGGACCTTTTGAACTTCCTCCCAATTTAAGTAACCAACTGTATTGAAATTTTCTTCAACAAAATTTGGCCGAATGGCTTGAAGAAGTTCCACTTTATTTAAGAAGAGACATGTAGATAGGTGTAGTTTTTAAAAATCGTTAGATTAGCCGTGGAAGCAATTTTGCTTGGCCACCCAGAAGTCCGGACTTCAATCCTCTCGATTCTTCTATTTGGTTTCGAAAGATATAGTTTACAAAAAATCTATTGAATCGCGTGAAGAGTTTTGGCAAGAATTCAAATCGCTGCCAACGTAGTCAGGNTTTCATTTCTAAACAGACTATAAAGTAAATACTTTTAAACGCTTTGCAATTCAGTCTAAATATGGAATTACATTACAAGCTTACTTACTGCAAATTTAACTGTTTTTTTCTAACTGGACAACTACATATATTTTCTTTGATTCCTCAATCTCCTTGTGCGATAAAAATTATCTTTTTGTTTATCGTTTTAAATGCACTCATAACAAAAAAATTTTTTTGGTCATTTCTCCTTTATAGGGGGAGCTTTCCCACATCTGATGTTAGAGGTGAGACATCACGATAAAAGGATTAAGAGATATGATATTGCGCATACCCGCCGCGATGTTATGACGTCACGTGGAGAGTAAATAGGGATTTGTGGATATTGTCCGTTAAAAATGCTAACCTACCTTTATAACTTGGTGTAAATTTTATATCTGTATTGTGTGTATTTGTGATTGATCTATCTCTTATAAATACAATTTTGTAAAAAAAAATCAAAAAGGACACTTCGATAATGATTGGGAAATACACTTATAGCACTAGAAACTGGTCCACTGTAAAACCTGACCTTGCGAAAGGCAAAGCACATATCGGCGACTGACATGGCGGCAAAGTAGAAAAAAATTAACGGATAAAAAATTTAAAGAATTTCTTTCCGAAGGGAAGAAATAAATAAAATTTTATGACACCTATTTTATATCAGCAAATTCAATTGCTTTTGCCTCTGTTGTTATTATTAATTAATAAGATTAATTTGTGGTTTTAATTAATAAAATACTTTCACATACGTGATATTATAACAACTGTTCAAAATTTTGTCTACCGACGTGTAAACACATTTGTGCCCGTTTTACCCAGTTTCTACGAATTAACACAAATGTTGTCTTGCTTCACCATAACACTAATGTTGTCTCGCTTCACCATAAATTAAAACGATATCCATCAACTCTGAGTTGCTATACACGTAAGCTATTTTTGACACTAGAAAAACTAACGTAAACACTACGCAAAAACATTAATACTAAAATCGAATTTCAGTATTCGGAATCGCCTGGAGCCCACGTGGAGAGAGAGAGAGAGAGAGAGAAAGAAAGAAAGAGCGCTTTGCGCACAGCGAGAGGCTAAAGGTGGAAAATACTACAATAATTTTTTTCTCGAAAACTATAAGGATTTTACAAAATTTGTTTTTACCATATTGACTTCAGTTTTCATGACACATATATTCCTAAATTTTTTTGATAAGTTGTGAATCACCCTGTATTCAACTTTTCTATAACTTTTTCCTGTTTCCATAGCTATAGATGCAATATGTTGTTTATTCTATTATTACTTACTTTTTCTTTTATATGTAAGCTAACAAGGGTCTAAATTCACAGTAATTTGAAATACATCTTTCACCAATAAAATTTTAATTTTCTTTTAACGATTTTATTTTTCTTCTTCAAAATTTGACTCCACTGAATTATATGACCGTGCACCCAAGTGTGCGTAAATTTTTGATTCCTCAAATTCCCTTTTTTAGTGTAATCTTTCCAATGTAATCACAATTAATGTAATTCACAAGGTGTGCTATAAATATAAAATTTTGAATTTGGGTTACTAATTTTTGTGCATCTTTAACCAAAAAATCCATAAGTACCAGTTACCTGAAAAATGTTCTAATGTCAAATTTGTTACCTATTTTCCTTAATTTTATTGCGGATGTAATTTCTCTTCGTAGTTTAATAAAATTTGTTTTACCTTCAAAATTCCCGGGGTGCTGATCGTTTATTAGCAATTTTTTTAAATAAATTTCAATTCATTATTAATAATTATCTTTTGAAAAAGTTTTTCTCTATTATGTAAACATTTACATAATTATATCTGTTTGTATATCAATATAATGATTCAAATTAAAATTGATATCTCTTAGTGTCAGCTGGTTTGCTGTAAACACGCATTTCTAAAGAAATGTAATTTTGTCCAGAATCCAGAAAAATATTGAAATCTTTAATGTGTAAGGTCAAATGCAAAAATATCATTCATATGTTTCTTCCAAATGGTGGGCTTTTTATTTAAATTATTAAAATAAATTTCTTAAAAAAATCCAAAAGGTAATGATGAACTATTTCGAAACGCCAAATTGTTATTCATTATTTTCAAATTATTGTTGATATTTAATATTTTTTTTTTACGGATACATTAGTAAATATGAAGTATCGAAATTATTTGAATAAAGTTTTTCCAGTGTAAGTATTTTTAATGTATGAATCAGAATGCACAAATAATTTTATTTATCAACCACATAAATCACTCTCCACGTGACGTCATGCGCTCAACGAACCGATTTTAGTTCACGAGAATATCATATCTTCCAGTCTTTATATCATGGTGAGACTAATAACACACAATCTGAACGATATAANTGGGGCCCACCTACGAAGGCTGTCCAGGCCTACACGAGATGAGGCAGGATAAAGAGGGATAATCCCCCTCGATCCCAAATCATTGAGGCCAATTTCTAGCCATGGAATAATGGCGCGCGGTCACCATTTCACATGTACTATCTTCGCCTTTCGGATTTCCTGTTGTTAATGTATCACCCTGTATAATGTTAATATATGAATGAAATTAGTTCCAAGTTATATAAATTGAAAAAATTAATATGTTTTCTAATAACCACAAATAAATAATAAAGTGTTACATTGTGGATTTTCTAAATAAATTGATATACTAGGGTAGAGTTATAATATCCGGTGGTTTTTAAGCAGTTAATATGCGATTTCATGCATTTTTCTAGATTACAGTCCTTCAAATGACTTCCTTATTGAAATTTGCTGTTTGTAAAAGAGAAATCATCATAGCAGAACATTTAATTACCCCAGCTCTACGTATGAACTGTTCGTACACGAATATTTGACGCATGTGTGGATGGCGATATTTGGATGAACACAAATAGTTTCAGTTATAATATCACAAGAGCATAGAAAATATTCGATTATACTTCCGAGTCACGAGACGTATTCTGCGAAACACCACGACATCGTAGTGGTGTTTTAAGGATATACATCGAGTGAGGAGGTTAGTATAATCGAATATTTTCGTTTGCTCGAGTGGCATTCGATACGATTATATAATTCAGAGCTTGAACCGAAGCGTTCCATTTTTTTTTTGACGTTTATTGACAAATGTTAAAACTATCGTTACCATGACATAGTTCACATTGTTGGAGGAGGCGAAACACCAAAACGGTTATACCACGTCGTCAAGAGTATAATCGCTTATCAATACATAGTAACTACGTAAAATTTGTAATTGCTATTGGCTAAATTTCTAATGAATTATATAATCCGTTTTAAGTCGTAAATCAACACCCGTCAAAGGACACAAATATATATTTTTTGTTTATAAATAAAATAATTTTTTAAGCATTGTTTTTTAAAGGATCGTCATACATTGTGAGCTTATTTAATTATTCCGTATTATTTCAAGTAAGCGATTTGTGTAAACAGACTGCTAAGCCAAATATTAACATTCCCTACGAATATTCATAGTATTCGCAATTATTTCTCTACGCAAATAACCATGTCTCTAATGACGTTATCAGATTATTTTAATTATGTATTTATAGACTGCTTTGGAAAAACAATATTCGTCGAATTTATGAATATTCGTCGAATTCATAAATATTCGTCTAATTAGTAAATATTCGTCGAATTCCTAAATATTCGTCGAATTCCTAAATATTCGTCGAATTCCTAATTATTCGTCGTATTCATGAATATTTGTCGACGCAAGCGTGAAGCCGGGTTAAGATAACTTACAACAACGCAGGGTTTCGTTGGATAACAGCGTCATGTTAACTAAGGCATCGTTAGGGTAAGTGGGAGCCCCATCTTCTGCATCTACACATAGACATTGATCGCCAATGCATTGAATCGTATCATAATCTCCAGTGGGGGAGCATCGAAAAAATTCGCTGGGTCCCAGCTCTTTTCCTGTGATTTCTACAGCCTCGTAGTAGTCTCTTGAGCAACCTAAGGGATAGTTAATATGAGATAAAAATAAGTAGTAACTATTCATGTTCAATTAAGAAAAATCAATATTTAAACCGAGATGCATGAACTTCATACTAAAATCGCTTTACCTTTATATGATTATTTTCTTTATTTTACAACTTTCACGCTGTTGATAATACAAATTAATAAATTTTATCTGCTCCCACTATAGTAAATAGACTATTAATACATTGTTTTTAAGGAGGTAAGTGGATTTTACCATAGAAGTGGAAGTTGCTATGAACAACGGGAGGTAAGTGAGGTAACTTACCTCCCTAGGAAAAAAAGCGATTTCGAGTTAGGTATAAATGCATGAACAAGTAAATAGAAACATTTGATGAACATTACATTTTATTAATTATTATGAATGAATATTTATAGTAATTGTACAGTTATTACATTTAGTAACATTTATAAAATCTGGATAATTATTCGCCTCGCGTATTTGTCACATTTTTCTCAAAATGATTTGACCGCTCCATAAAAATGTCAAAAAATAAAACCTATACTCCGCGGTCGAAATTATAGAGAGTGACTCATCGCTAGCTTTTGGGCTAGTAAGGGGGATGAAGCGTGCTGGAAACGAAAATCCATTGGCGTGTCTGCGTAAAAGGCAACAAGATATAGAAAATATTGAAAAAAAAAATAAAACATAACATCTAATATTTTTTTACGGTTTGCTATAACCGGCACTTTGATCCATTTTAATTATTACAGCATTTTAAAACGTCCAAGTTGTGTTTTTTTAATTTATAAATTTATTATAGCCATGGAATTAGACCCCTCGTCTACGCTTATGCTATGACGTTTATCAGGACGGGTAAATCAAGTCCGTTTACACTTACTAAAAAAGCATTTCCCTATGCACTACCAAGTGCAAAAGACAGAGATAGAATATAGATCGACGTTCAGTGTAACTCAGTCTATAGACAATTATAGATTCTATCGATGTGCGTAGCGAGCGGCACAAAGATAAATAATATTGAACCGTATAAAAATCATTTTATATTTTATACGCATTCTGGTAATAGTGTTTTTATATTATGTATGAGTCACTCTATATAATTTCTACCGCGGAGTATATGTAACCTTTATTTCATGAACCATATAGAACTGTGGGAGCAGATAGAATGTTATACACCACGCTGCAGTTAAGTATAATTTACCAATCTCGGACTCTATTGCCAGCTCTCGCTCCGCTCGGGCGCAAAATCGTCCTCGACTGGTAAATAATACTTAGGTACCTCCTTTATGGTGTAAATAACTAATGTTACATTTGTATCTAAAATGGATGAAATATGTTTTTAGGAAACTTACCACATTGCATGTGAAACGAAGGAAGCCCAGTAAAATCACGATCCCCGAAAATTCTACTACCTTCTTTATTCACACAGTAGCATCTACGGCAAAAAATTGATTTAAATATTTTTGTGGTGGCAACTGTACTCATAAATATTATTGTGAGAACTGATGTTATACGAGAATAGTCACCAATTTGATTAATTGATTTTTGGATATTTAAAATTTAACTCCTTTTCACTTTTCACTTTTCAAGGGCAACGAAGTTATATTTAACATTTCCGTGTAATACACATATGAAAATTTAGACAATTGGTGCAAATTGGTGTACATATTGGTAGAAGATAGGTGCAAATAGTGTTAAACTTTCGAATAATATTTGAAAATTTGAGAGACAACACAATTAGTTAGACTGTATGTGCGGACAAACTGCTAAAGCAGATCTCGGGCTTATTTTTTTAAAGTACTTTTCAACTTTTCACTTTTCATTTATGAAAACAGAAAATAGCCAGAAAAGTGAAAAGTTGAAAAGTGCTTACAGAAAACCGGTCTCTGAACATTCACTAATATTCGTCATATTCATAAAATGTTTGTCTACGCAAGGAGTTGGAATCAAAGGCTCTGAAAAATCAGTTTAGCTCCGGTTTTAAATAATCATAATCGATTATGTGTAAAGAATATTGGTTTACACAAATGTGGAGCCGGTTTAAGAATACCTATTGAGATACGTATGTATATTTACGTTTGCCCTGGAATACATTTGTAAGAAGAAAATGTCCCATCATCGTCACATGTCTGTCTAGTTTCCATGGATCCTAAGGTTCCATTTAATCGTTTGTTGTCGTAATCGTCTTGCAGTTGATGGCACGGTGAGGCCACTTAAACAGAAAAAATTAGGTAGGTGTATTTATCCGCTTAAATTTTGCATAATGTGTTCAGTTTTTTATTCTGGGAAACATTTCTAAACAATATTTTATTGTAACTTACGCAAAAATTGCGCTTTACTTTTGAAAAAAATATCGGACTTTTCTAAATTTCCAGGGTTTACTGGATTTTACAGAATTGAAATCATTGCAGATTTCGCTTCGCAAACAAACAGGGCTTGGGATTTTCTTAACAAAAAATGATATATCCCAGTTAAACTGTTTGCCTTGGGAGTGCCTAAATGTTGTAACTAACATACTTCTAGTGCAAAATCCATCGAAATCGCTATTTGCTCTTAATGAGCAATACAATCCTGGTCCACAAATAGTTGTGTGTGAAGGGCTAGATGGATTTCCGGTACTGCATTTGTCGCCTTCATCTAAAAATATTGATATAGGTATTAATTTTTATTTTTAGTACATATCAAATAAAATCAACAAACAGCATAATGCATTAAAAACTATAATAAAAAGAACGAAGAAATAAATTACTGTTTATATTTAAGAGAGTCGTTGTATTGTAATGATCAAACAGTGGTATGGACCACTCAATTTTTTCTTTAAGTACCTATTTCTCTAAAATATTATACTTAATACAGGGTGTCTCATAATTAGCTGCCAACCCTGAACAGGCCGATTCTATGATCAAAACTAAGTAAAAAAGTTCATATGAACATGGGTCCGGAAATGCTTCCTAAGGGCACAGGGACCCATTGAAGAGGGAGGAATGGAAATCATTTTTTTGCAATATCTCTCAATCGCGTTGTGATAAATGAATGAAATTTGGTATACACAGCTAAATTTTGATGAGCAATTTGATGGACTAATCCATTTATTTCCACAAGGTCCATTGGGGTGGGTACGGGGGGGCCCTTGGTACTTTGCGTGTGTAACTTTTTCATCTTTGACTTTTTAACAAATTGGACAGCAAATTCCGTTTTCCCGAACTGTTTTACGTTAAAAAGGTACTCTTGTTTCAAATCGTTATCTTTAACGGTTTCTGAGAAAATCGCTCTTGAATTAATCCCACTTTGGTCAATTTCATAGTAATTTAAACAAAAAAAAATAATAATAATTTTCCTTTCCTCTCTTTTCCATTTAAAGGATTAATTTTTATTTAATTTAATTTTTTATTATTATTTTTTTATTAAAATTAGATTAAATTTAAACAAAAAAATTTTTTTTGTTTAAATTACTATGAAATTGACCAAAGTGGGATTAATTCAAGAGCGATTTTCTCAGAAACCGTTAAAGATAACGATTTGAAACAAGAGTACCTTTTTAACGTAAAACAGTTCGGGAAAACGGAATTTGCTGTCCAATTTGTTAAAAAGTCAAAGATGAAAAAGTTACACACGCAAAGTACCAAGGGCCCCCCCGTACCCACCCCAATGGACCTTGTGGAAATAAATGGATTAGTCCATCAAATTGCTCATCAAAATTTAGCTGTGTATACCAAATTTCATTCATTTATCACAACGCGATTGAGAGATATTGCAAAAAAATGATTTCCATTCCTCCCTCTTCAAAGGGTCCCTGTGCCCTTAGGAAGCATGAACTTTTTTACTTAGTTTTGATCATAGAATCGGCCTGTTCAGGGTTGGCAGCAAATTATGAGACACCCTGTATATCGGGTGATTCAGTATCTCTTTTATTTTAACAAATAGCTATAACAAAACCTATATATTTTTAAATTGCCGTTCAAACTCTATTAAATGACATTATTAGATCGTCTCCATGGTAACATATGTCAAAATTGCTACAGTCAACTGTTTTTGTTCAAACGGCACACTATATATTTTTTTATCAATTCTGGAAGATATTTTTTTTCTGCGTTCAGCAATATAAGGAAGTCTATAGTTTCATTAGAAATATTGTTAGAAAAACAGCAGAAAAGATGAACCCTATATTTCTTATCTTTATTTTGAAAAATGATAGCCAGCTGCGGAAACAAGCTACTATGTTTTTTAAAGCAACATATTTTATTTTTAATACAATAATAATATAACAATTTAAAACAATACTTATTTCAAATGTTCAAAATGACCTACATTTGCTTCCAAACACAGGATAGCTCTGTTTATCACTCCCTCTCTACACTCTACTCTTATTCCGTTTTTAAGATCGTCAATATCATTTAGGTAAGGGCAAAGAAAGAGTGAGATCCAGAGATCTAACAGGCCATTTAACATCTTTATCGAATGTTCTTCATCTCTTGCCCTTCTGGGTTTAAAAACTCTTATTTTCTTTTGAAAACTTCCATCTGCAGCCAATTCCAGTTTTAACTTTCCGAAAATTTTATCTGATGGATTATTTTGACACACCGTTATTTAGAAACGTCAAAATTCAATTGTCTCCGCAGCTGGCTATCATTTTTCAGAATAAAGCTACTGAAAGTAGGGATCATCTTTTTTGCTGTTTTTCTAACAATATTTCTAATGAAACTATAGACTTCCTTATATAGCTGAACGCAGAAAAAAATATCCACCAGAATTGATAAAAAAATATATAGTGTGCCATTTGAACAAAAACAGTTGACTATAGCAATTTTGACATATGTTACCATAGAGACGATCTAATAATGTCATTTAATAGAGTTTTAGCGGCGATTTAAAAATATATAGGATTTGTAATAGCTGTACTATTTGTTAAAATAAAAGAGATACGGGGCCGCGAATACCAAACTGAATCACCCGGTACAGTATGGGCATAAAATTGAAAGAATTTCTTTCACAAGGAGGGAAATAAATAAAATTGTATAACACCTATTTACACAAATTGAGTGTTTGTGCAAAGTTTAAATATCTGAGACCCATTTTAATTTTTGGGTTAATTTATGAGATACAAAATGTTATTAAGAAAAGTTTTTATGAATTTTGATTGTTTTAAAGAATTTTACAGCGGATTTAAAGAATTTTTTGCAATCCGACATATTTTGTGTTCTAAAGCTGCCTTAAATCATTTTGTTGTTTTCTGAATACGTTTCGATATACCTAGTTTGACGCGTTTTATAGTTGTTTTGTGGGAGGAGTCTAAAGCCGAATCGAGAAATTCTAAGGTTTATTTTAAAATATTATTCTTAATGCAGTATTTTTTCTTGTGTCATAGTATTATTCAATATTTTTAGTTGGAATTGTTCGCAATTTCCTTGTGTGCTATCCTCAAGAAAATTTTATGGATCTATAGATTTTTAAGATCTAAAGGCCTAAATCATAAATACAAATGAGAAAATGCTCTAATTTCGATATAACTTTCGAGTCCTATGCCTACTTTGAGAAAAACCTAAAATCAAGAAAAATATCAAAGAAGACCTACACCTAGAACATTAAAACAATTACAGAAATACTCAATTTTCTATTTTACGAAACTTGTCTAAATGACATTTTGTAATAAGATTAGATTTTTCTAAATTTCCAAGGCTTAAGTACCGGATTTTACAAACAAAGGGCTAAATCCTAGAGGGACATTTACCAACACCACAACATTTTCTGTCTCTTACAAGGGTCGTTTCATTTCACCTGTCAATGACACACTGTATAGTGGCCTTCTAGATGTACCTGTTTAACCACTTACTATGATGCAGTTATCAATTCATAACTTGCAGTGATTTTTTATTTTTTTGATGGGATTTTTGAGAAAATCACTTTATTCCCAATTTGTTTATTTATAATGCAGAATAACTCTTTTACACTGACTTAAACTTTTAAATTCATGAAGTAGTTATCCGATTTAGTTTTAAAATCTAGAAGGCCCTAAATACGCCCGAAAAGAAAATGAAAAATTAGCCAATTATTGATCCTGTAAGCCTTTATTATTTACAAAATGTAATCACCAGTGTTAGTAATTGGCTGTTTTCAAGTGTTTCCAATACCTTCTAGATTTGTACACCGAAACAAACATTTAAAAAACGTTGAACTTTAGGTTTGTATAAAAAAAATCTGTGTTGTAAATTGACAAAATTTGGGATTATAGGGGTTTCAATGGTTGATGCTAAGGTTACGTAGGCAAGAGTAAGACCCCTAAAGTAATTTTGCCCAAAACTACTAAAGAAAATCATAGCAGGCAATGGATTGCCAACTAGATAATCGTAATTCATTCAGCAAGTGTATCCTGGTTCTTAGTGGGCCACACTGCAGATAATTTAATTTTAATTTGCCTCACACTCTCTTTGAGATCTATACGCCACTGCTTGTCATATGGACGTAATTTACAAATTCTGTTTTCATAAATACTTACGTACTTATACATACTTACCTAGATTTTCTAAACAATAACTGCAACAGTTGCACACCTGAGGAGAAGGTAAAAATATTCCGTTATGCGTTGCATTTTGTATTTGACATTTCGCAGGTAAATCGCTACATTCAACAGACTGAAACACAAAAGAATCTATTTTAATGAATATGTATATTCAGTTCGGGATAAACAAAATTTCTAGGAAAATGTGGACTAAAATTTAATTTACTAAAACAACATTAGACGCAAAAAAGTGGCGGGTTGTTCTTTAAATTAATCAAATCAGAATTAAAAGGAAACTGAAAATATGATTTATTTATGATATATTAAAAATAATAAGTTATGATTCATATTAACCCAGTAAGGTAAAACTGATAAAAATATACATGCTTTTATCCAGAAAAATATAAATTTAAAAAACTAAATATTTTGAACTAACTTACATCACAGTATGAAGAAGTGCAGAGAACGCTTTCATCAGCGCTCGCAGACAAAATAAATATACTAATTAAATAAAATACTTTCATGTTGGATGATTAACTGAATACCTAGTTCTCGCAAGATGTCGAAAACAAATAATTTATTTTTCGATAAGATAAACAATGAATATGATTTCGATAACACCGATATGAATGAAATCGTAAGATTGCAATCAGAAAAAGATAATGTTTCAGGTAAATAATGTAGGTGCATTATTAAAAAAAAATGTCTACGTCAGTGATTCTTTTTTCGCTTTTGTTATTCTTGAATTACTCTTAAAAAACCACTGGAGCTTCCTATGGCCAAAATAATAAAATTAACCCATAAAGAAAATAAATAAGATTAATTTCGTATTAATTAATTAATACGAATTTAACTGCAAAATATAGCGCCATCTAACAGCTTCCTGGAATTATTTTTCAATATTAAAGTGTAAAAAATTTATAGATGATAGATGTCGCCATAGTTAGAAATATACCTATCGTCCAATTTTCCATCTTTTTTTAACATCCAGGTTAAAATGAGATAAAATATAAAATAATGTATCCTTCTAGTATCTAGTCCCCTGTCAAATCTATGGTTTTTTGATTCGGTTATATTTATATTTTTATTATTTGATGATAGATTATATTATTTAACATACAATTCGAGAAGAAAAAGTGAGTAAATAAATTAAAATAAAATAAAAAATTACAGCTATCAATGACTTTAATGGCATAATTCTTGTGTTTGCTGGGTATATTATTTATAATATAGCAAATATATAGTTAAAAAAGTAATTAATGTTTTTTATGCGTAAGATATGCCATGTGGACAAGTATAAGTAGGTACTTATCTGTTTTTTACATTATAAAAAGAGAGCTACCCATTATAACAATTTGCTGAGCTTAAGGACATAGTTCCACTACAGCAGAATAACAGATGGCTCTGAAAGTCGCATTCAGGCGTTGACAATAATTTATAGAGAAAGAGACCCTTATTTGATTTCTCCATGAATTGGCCTGACAAACATAGATTTAAAACTTGCCTAAAAATACATTAAGTGGCCTCTTATTTTTTCTATATTTGTATTTAGTTGATATAGAGATTTTGAAAAAGTGCAGGTGTTTTTTGAAGTGCATTGCTGAAATAGTTCTTGGAGAAAAATAGATTTAAAATGTTATGTAAATTTGATCGCCACGGATGCCATTATTCCATGGCTAGAAATTGGCCTCAATGATTTGGGATCGAGGGGGATTATCCCTCTTTATCCTGCCTCATCTCGTGTAGGCCTGGACAGCCTTCGTAGGTGGGCCCCATCCGTCGTCTACCCCGACCGCAAATGCGGCCGGTGTAGGCGCTTTGTGGGACTTCCTTTTGTCCTGGCTGGGCCCCGCCGGCTAGGGCCCTTTCTTCAGGCGCTCTTCTTGCTTCGCCGGCTCGTCTGTGTAAACCTTGGGGGTGGTGTCATGTTTATGTGTGGTATGGTTGGGTAGGGTAGTGCGGCTATGCAGCCTGGGATACGCTTTGGCTAGTGAGGGAGGGGAGGAGTAAGGAGGGTATGGGAGGTGTGTATGTGTGTGTTGTTGTCTTCATTTCTTGATCCTGACGGTCTCTGAAACAGAAAGGGTTAGCGGGCAGGGGTGGATGTCGTTGGGGAGGTCAAAAGTTGGTGTCTAGGTCTTTTGTGTTTACCACGGTAGCGTAGTCTGTCGATCTATAGTCGGTATCCTTTGCCTTACCGAGCACATCACGGCGGCCTTCAACAGGGGACAGTACACTGGTGCTGTCTTCCTGGACGTCGCAAAGGCCTTCGATACGGTTTGGCATGAAGGCCTACTGATGAAAATGCTCACCAACCAATATCCCATATCCTTTACCAAACTCATAAAATCCTACCTACACCACCGAAAATTCCGCATCCAAATCCAAGATTCCCTTTCCACCACCCGTCCCATGGAGGCCGGTGTCCCCCAGGGCACCGTCCTGTCCCCACACCTATACACCATTTACAACTCCGACATCCCACATCCCCCCAACACCAACATATACTTATACGCCGACGACCTGACAATCACATCCCAATCCGTAGATCCTAGATATTCCGTCTACCTCCTCCAAAGCTCCTTAGACCAACTTGAAACCTGGTGCAACAGGTGGAAAGTCAAAATTAATCCCAACAAAAGTTCGGCTATCCTTTTTACCAAACGAAAAATCCCACAAAACCTTGACAGACTGACACTATCCCAGGAACCCATCTCCTGGAATCGACAAACACGATACCTGGGCGTGACGATGGACCAGCGTCTCACGTGGAAACCGCACATCGTGGAGACGGTGGCGCGAGCGAAGACCACCAGGGCTAGGCTCTATCCCTTACTCAAAGGTGGAAACACCCTCAGTTTAAGGAATAAGCGAACGCTTATCAAGGTGGTACTTCAACCGCAGCTAACCTACGCCTCCACGGCGTGGGGTCACGCGGCAAAAAGCCACTTAAAGTCATTACAGGCTGTGGAAAACATAGCCCTCCGCACGGCCACCGACGCGCCCTGGTACGTAAGAAACACTGACATATTACGAGACTTACAATACACAAACGCTACACAGACAATAAGACAAAACGCGGAGAAACGATTTGACGTAGCCGCTAGACATGACAATCCCCTCCTCAGGCAAGCCGTTGACTACGTACCCGACGTGACCGACAAACACAAAAGACCTAGACACCAACTTTTTGACCCTGGGTGACCACCCCAATGACCCCCCCCCTGCCCGCTAACCTTTTCTGTTTCAGAGACAGCCAGGATCAAGAAACGAAGACAACGACACACACACACACACACACACACACCCCCCATACCCTCCTTAACCCTCCCCTCCCGCGCTAGCCTAAGGGCCACCTTAGCAAAGCGCATCCCAGGCTGCATAGCCGCACTACCCTACCCAACCATACCACACATAAACATGACACTACCCCCGGGGTTTACACAGACGAGCCGGCGAAGCAAGAAGAGCGCCAGAAGAAAGGGCCCTAGCCGGCGGGGCCCAGCCAGGACAAAAGGAGGTCCCACAAAGCGCCTACACCGGCCGCATTTGCGGTCGGGGTAGACGACGGATGGGGCCCACCTACGAAGGCTGTCCAGGCCTACACGAGATGAGGCAGGATAAAGAGGGATAATCCCCCTCGATCCCAAATCATTGAGGCCAATTTCTAGCCATGGAATAATGGCGCGGTTAATTTTATTTATATATGTTCAATTGTATACGTTTTACCTTCACGGCTCAAAAGGAGCGTGCACTTTGCGCGAGAGATATATCTGTCTTCATCTATGAAATAGACGTTATCGAAATTCTCAACCGATAAAATAGAAACCGGATCTGTCAATTTTTTTGGTCCGGTTGTGCATATTGAAAGTGTGTTTTTCCAGAATTAAATTTGCCAAATTAATCTATTGTGTTTAATTTTTTACTACTTACATAAAAATGGCCGATCTAGATGATTTTTTTGCAAAGAAAGATCGTAAAAAGTCAAAAACCACCAAAAAATTTTCGACAACAGATGAAGTTGCAAAGAAATTGGAAGATAGTGCAAAGAAAATTGAAAAAGTAAAAAAAGAACGCGTTCCAGAAGGCGAAGATAGTACTGCTCCAGTTCATGTAGGTTTATTTATTGATATTATTCAAAATCATGTAAAACGATTGAAGGAGGTTAAGTGGCCATATTGCATAATTTTTTTCCAGGAACAAGATGAGTGGAAGGACTTTGAAGAGGAGAAAAAAGATTATTCGGGATTAAAAATTGGCAATCTAACTCTTGCATCGAATACAGAAGGTAATACAGATCCAAAAGAAACATATACTGAACAACAACAAGAAGACGAATCAGGTCAAGATATTGAAAAGAAAGTAGGACCATGGAAACGAATCGATCCAAATGAAGTTCAGGAGGAACCAAAAAAAGAGGAGAAGAAAGTTGAACCACCTTCCAATGTCGTTAAAGGAGCATATGTACCTCCTAGTTTACGTAGCTCTGGACAACCGCAAATCCAAACTAGTCGTCTCAAGTCAAAAGCTGCGCCGGACATACATAATGAAGAATACTTCCCCACTCTCTCGAAAACTGGCGAACATAAAAAGTAAGTAGTAATTTTTGTTAATTCAAGGATTTTTGTGATATTTATAAAATTTATTTGTGATTAATATTAACATTTGGCTTCGATAAACAACAGGCATTAAAAAATATCTATATGTTGGTAAATATCTTTACAATAGTGTCTGTGAAGCTTGTGCAGACAGAACTAGTTGGAATTATTGATTTTGTTTATTTTTGGGTTTTCCATTATTTACCATCCTGTGATATTTTATAATTTTAATGTTCATAAATGAAGCAAGGTATGAAATAATCTAATTATTTTCTTTGAACATCCGGGAGATAAATTACAACCTTATTTTGAATGCCTGATTTTGTTTTGTTCAAGGAACTTCCCTAAATACCCTTCTGAATTTTTGAATTCTTTTTTCCTTATTTTCTTTTATTGAATACACCAGACTTTACTTTTTCAGGATTTGTTTAATTTCATTGTATAGAGTAGGCTAAAAATTATTTTAGATTCCTATATCTTGATTCATTTAAGACACATGGACTTTCATTTTTAGCCATTTTCAGTGATGTCGTGTACCTAACTGTTTTGTTTATGAAAATAATTGATTTCTTTATACAATTTTTTTGGGTAGAATCCAATGGTGTCATGATGTTTTTCTTTACTTTCAGTTTTTAGGTTGTAACTTACATTTTTTTACATAAAACCCCACATATTTCTTGATTTCTGTATTCTACGGAAAATAGCCTTTCAAATCAATCAGACATGAAATATACACTATATATATTATTAAAAATGTCACATGTGCCGGTGGATTCTACTTGAAAACTGAAAACAGACAAAAATGAAAAACGTATATATCTTGAATGTCTTGAAAGTCTTGTGTGTCTACAGAACTAAAATAAATTTATTATAGGAATCGTAGCGAAGGGTCTTTTGAAGTAGTGCAACATAGCCGGTCTACATCGTACCGACAGGCCGAGCAGTCTAAATACCATTCTTCGCAGGGTCCCAAACTAAATCTTGGCAATCGCTACAACACTCTGAGCAATGACAGCTAGTGTTTTCCTTGTCATCTAAGGACATGTTTGTACTAAGTGATGGCCATGGAGGAACTATTCCACTTGATTTATGCTATCAAGTAGTTGTCAAACCGTTTTTTATGAGATTAATAGTATGGAGGTGCTGCGTATTTTATTATGGAAAATATAACTAAATTAATTTTTTTTTAATACCTTTCTATGTTGATAGTTTTAATTTGATAGTTTGTGACAGTTTGATAATATAAATCAAGTTATTCATAACGTCTAATATCTTCAACAATCCTGAAATTAATGTTAAGTAATTAAGTAAAATGTGTTATCTCCTATATATTAGTTTTTGTTGATATCAAAAATTTCTGTTACATATTTTTTTTATTTAATTATCTCGGAACGTTAGAAAAAAGCAAAATAAACTTTGGCTACACCATAAACCGTAACTTCTTTTAAAAACATATTATAATGACTTTTATAAAATAAAGTGTTATTTCCATTACGTTTTTAATTTTTTTGACCAGACTTACATCTTTATAGGACCTGATGGCACCATTGAAAGCGAGGTTATAGTTTTTCGCTCTTGGTCGTACCGAGATTCATTCTTTGTGCAATTTCAGTGTAAAAGAATCGGAAGCAATACAAATTTAAGCAGAGTGCTTGTAAAAAATGTTTTAGGCACCTGCAGTCGTCCTAAAATGTGTTATACTCTTATACAAGGTGATTCGATTTTTGTCGAACGAACTTTAGGAACAGGTAGATTATCAAAAAATAATGAAAATTTGTTGTACAGAGTTTCATTTTCATGGAGCCAGGCTCCCTGTTATTTTAAATCAAAACATTTTGACACTTTAGTTACGAATTAATTACCTGTTTAAACGATTATTCTGATATAACTATTTGATTTTGGCCGTAGGTGTCCATTTCTAAAATTCAAAATATAGGTTTTATAAGAAAAATATATTAGTAATTTTTTATATATTGTTACAAATTACTCGTCGGTTTGATGGATTTTTTTACTATGAGTGAACTTTTTGATAACGAATAAGGTTAAAGATACAGGGTGATTCACGAATTATCCAAAAAAATTTGTATTGTCAATATCAAAAAAAAAATTATAAAACCCTTAGTTTCTGAGAAAAAATTATTGAAGTTGTAGTATTTATAACCCTTACATCGCTGGGCTACTGCAGTCTCTAGCATCAATCCTGTTGTACACTATATGCAATGCGCTCTCTCCATGTGGCCTGAAGGCGATTCCGAATACTCAAGTTCGATTTTAGTATTAAAGTTTATGTGATAGTGTTTACATTAGTTTTTCAAGTGTCAAGATGATGGATATCATTTTAATTAATGGTGAAGCAAGACAACATTTCTGTTAGCTCGTAGAACTGGGTAAGACGGGTCCAATTGTGTTACATGTCGGTTGACAACATTTTGAACAGATGCCACAAATTAATTTTATTAATTAATAATAATAGCGGCAAAAGCAGTTTAATTTGCTGATATAAAATATGTGTTATAAAATTTTATTTATTTCATGGGAAAGAAATTCTTTCAATTTTTTTGTCCGTGCCGGTCGCGGACTGCATGCTTGCGCACGGTCAGGTTTTACAGTGTGCCAGTTTCCAGTGCCACGCAATTCCGTATTTTTAAGTCATTTTCGAATTGATCTTTTTGATTTTCTTTACAAAACTGAATTTGTAGGATTCCCCTGGACATTCAAAATTTTTTTTCAATCAATACTAATAAGATAAGCATGCAGAATAAATATAAATGAATATAATAAATATAAAACGACAATAAGGTAATAATAAATGTAGGATAATTAATAAATATTTACAAGCGTAGAGTCCTTCATAGGGAACAAAACAGACTATACAATAACGAACGTCACAAATTTGCTAACAGAAATGTTTGGTTGAAACGAACTGGACATAAATGTGAACTAAGTATGTAATTTAGATCGAGGTGGCCGAATGTTTAATTTGGAAAAAATTACATGAACATTTATACAAACTGAAAACCCAAAAAAAACGCTTTTGTTTATGAGCACTGAATGTTGCAGAGTGACTGAAGACTCTGTTACACTAGATTTGGCTAGGACTAGGCTAGCTATTACTGAGGCTAAGACTCAGGTTTTACTTCACAAAGACTGCACGGTAGATGAGTAAAGACTCATACGAGACTGCAAATGCAAAGTAAATTTGGATCAAAACTCTCATATATCATTTGATATAATTTTGTAAATTGCGCAGCAAATAAATCAGTTATGTCATTGTTTCTAGAACAGAGTTTCTTCTTACAATAGAAACGTGCGCTGTCCATCCCCCGACCAATGAGGGTGGTAACCTGTTAGTATAAATATTATACTTCATATTTAATCAAGTTTCGTGGGGAAATTTTCATTATTTAGGTCTTGGCTTCCAGGCCTACAACAATTTAAGCTCTTCACTTTACTTTTTGTCTCATAATATGCTGTTAAATTCTTGGAAAAACTTGTTACCTACCTTGCCATTAAAAAAGATCAGCATAGTGGCAGTCTCCACGCAGCACTTTCCACTATGCTCATAAAACTGAAAAATTTTTAACACAATACAAATTCCTCTACTGTCAAAAATATTCTGCAAAATGCAGCTATGTAAGGAAAAAAACACTCTGTATATCAAAAGATAAACATTTTTGTAATGTGATATAATATATCATTATTTTCTTATAATAATTATCTATTAATTATAAAAAATTTGTATATATTTGAAAATGTATCTTTCTTTTTTTGATTAATATGTAAACATAATAGGTAAGTTCATAATTTTATATTTTTTCTTTATACTCTCAATTTTTCTCATTCATAATTTGATTACATAATTAAATTACCTATGCAAGATTATAATAATGTAATAAATGTTAAATTATAAAGTAGGTACATTCTTCAATAAAGTGTAGACGTATATACATATAAAAAAATATTCAATATTAAACTACATTTGACAAATTTACGGACATGTGTTACATTATTTTCCGATTTCAAAGATCATCCAAACTTGAATCTTCACTAAAAAAAAAATCAAAAATATATTATTGACTTTAAAAACATTTGCTTAATTGTAGTTTAAACCTTTTTATTGTGATTTCATGCCGCACCAAATTCCGACAAAAATTTTGAGAAACAATTTTTTACTTCTCAGTATTCGACAGTATTGTGGATTTGTGATCGGTTGTATCATTTCGTAAATACCTTTCCATATATCTCTTTCCATGGCTTCCCGAGTTACTGTAGCTTTCATAAAAAGGCTGATTCAGTAAATCTTTTTTAAAATTTTTTATTACATATATCCACGCTTTAGTTTTTTCTCTGGTTTCATTTAAAGACTCCACGTCATATAAATCCCTAATATAATAATTAGGATGATCTTCTAATGTATCGAGTTTTGCTAACACTTTATTATCTATTTGATATACCTCCCCTTGAACGTGATTACCGTTTCCTAAGAAAATAAAATTAAAAAAAAATGTATTGTCAAATTAACTTAATATTAAGTACACACCTGGACTGTATAATATGAAAGGAATGTTATATTTAGTCCCAATAATTAAAGGGAACTTTTCTACAGTTTTGGCATCATAAAGATATTTGTAATGCCCCTCTTGATCCATCGAAAACCACTGATGATTTGGCTCTCCTCTTTTTAGCGTACCATATACAAAAACTTTGTGTAATATAGATGGTGCAGCCATTTCAGATTAATATGACAAAAATATTTGCTAATAACAGAATAGCTACTTTGAATTAGGTTTTCTTATTTTCCAAATATTCTGAGTGAAATATGAAAATTGTGATATTTCAAAGTTACTATGGTTTCGAATAAGCACCTGAGTATATACCTAAATTAGCACTTTAAATTTTGAATTATAAAAATTTTAACTAAAACAAAGTTAATAAATATTTAATAAATTCTATATGTGGGGCCAAACCGCTAAAACACGGCCCTGTGCCTTACGTGTGTACGTTTTTTGCAGCTAGCGCCCCTATCGTTTTTTTAGTAACAACAACGAAACGAACGACAAACGACAATACACAATACCTATGTATGTGGTGTGGGGTGTGGTGTAGTGAAAAATGTGGTAGTTGTATATATTAAATACCAATAATTTATTATATTTTGAAAATACTCACCAGGTAAGAAAATAGAAATATAATTTAACACAAGTTATATTTTGCAACAGGTTGACTTTCACTTGCTCTCTTTGACAGTTTACTAACAATCGGCGCAAAAGTTTAAAACCAATTTATATAATGTACGCAAAGTCGTATATGTGATAATAATAAAAGTCAAGATCTTTTTCTTAAATTTAAGTGATTCTTCTTCTTATTTTCAGTAGTGATATATCTTCTCGTTTTGGCTCCTATGAGTTCTTTCAACTTATTAAGTATATTGTGGCAGCGTTGAAAGTCGTTTCCTTCTGTAGAAATACGTGATATGCCTCTATCACAACCGTAATTATTTATTTGATAATGTAGCATGACAATCATACAGTTTAAACCTTCGCGCGTTATTTTGTTATCTGAAATGAATTAATTTTGGTAAGTCAAATTAACTATTTTTTTTGTAACAAACAAGATAAGTTTAAATTTATCAGTGTATCATTTCCTTGGCAGTAGATATCGTCTACTTCTTTTTCTTCATGTTGGTCCCATATAAATGGATGGTTCAATAAACTGAATTTTGCAGAATTGTTTTTGATCTTATCTGCAGTAATATTTGTTTGAGAAATTAAAGATGATCCTAAAGCATAAAGTACATTATAAACATAAAACACACCACAGAAATGAGACAGTGTAACATTTCAATGAACAAATATCTTTTTAGTTCTTGAATACAAAATTTTATAAGTATATTTTGTTGTCTGACTCATATTTTTTTGTTGCTGGGCTTTGGTTGGTTCATTAAATACTACATTATCCACAAAGATTAACTAAACCAAAGATATAAACGTATTTAAATATATTTGCAGTTTTGCACGTCTTTATTCTAACCTTTAGACGTAAGTCTCTTGGAAGATCGTAAACTAGTGTCGTTTTTCAAAAGGTCGTTGGTAAAATTCATCTGCAATAAATTCAAATAAAAATACATTTTTGGGGTGTCCAATTCAAAAGCATACGTACATTTTTTCTTAAAATTTCAAATCTGATCCTCCTTCTTATTATCATTTCTTCCTCATTAAGAGAAAATTGTTGTAATGTTAACATCAGATGTATGCATCCAATGTCATAAATTTTGTTATCGGCCAAATTAAGCGATATTAATGTTCTGTTTATTCTTAAGAAACGTTCAACGTGTTCGATTCCTTGATTACATATTAAATTACTTGCCAAGTTCAAGTGAAGCAAACGGCTTTCGAAAGGGTAATACAATTCATTTGAAATTTTCTCAATTCCCTTACTGTTTATAGAGCAGAATTTTAAGGATAAAGCAAGTATATTTGTGCCGTGTAGTAGAAAATTAAAGTTTTGCTCCCTATTGGGATTCCCATTCATGCTTACTTCTGATATTGAATGATTTTTCACCAAAAGATTAGCTAATATCTCAATCTGATGTTCAGTCAAATTGCAAAATTCTAATCTGCAAAATGAATGATGATAATGAGTAAATTTATTTTATGTGCATATAACTAAAAGAATAAAATGTTTAAATAGTAACTGTAAATAGTAAAAGACTCGTTTTTGTATATACTTCAAAACAGATATCCGATCAAGGCGTTCTTTTAAAGATTCTATTACTGCAGTGTCAATATTTAAGATGTTTTTGTAACAAACTACTTCTGCATCTTCAAGATAATCTTTCTCAGGTAATAACATCAGTTGTGAAGCAGTCATATTTATTTATCTGGACAAATTTTGTGTAAAAATGTATTTGTTTTTTAACACTATATCTGCTTGCCCCAAGTTTATTTTATAATAATAAAAATATAAATTATATATGAACAACTAATAAATGCTGACAATGAATGAAACTTCTTATTTCAAACCTGTCAAAATTGACACCTGAATGAATTTAAAAATATTTTATTTATAGTAGACCATGGATTTTATCACAATAATAATAAATGAATAATAGAAATGTGTGTACTCATGTTTTAGTCAAAGTTATAAAGTCCATGTTTATTGTTGTTAGATTATAGGGTAGCTTGTAAAACCACTGATTAGATAAGTTGCAGGAAGTTTATTAAAAAAAAAATGATGAAATTGATATACAAGATGTAACATAAAAACTGGTCAAAAGGGAGGATCATTTTCCTCATCCAAATATAAGAATATTTTCTTATGGAAACAATTGCCCACTAAGCCTTTTTTTTTGAAATGTAAGGTGTTAAAAGTTAAAAAGAATTAATATCTCTAAATATCTTTGAGCAAATGAAGATATTGAAATAAAATTTTGCACAATACATAAATAAAATGACACGTTTTTGGCATTATCAAAATTCAAATTTTATTGTTCAGGACTTATTTACTTTTCTATTAGGCTGTTCTGTTTTTGTACAAATTAACAATTTGTGATAATTATATGGGTTTAGATAAATTTATAATCATTTAGTTAACTTAATTTTATAATAGATCTGTCTTATTCACATCTTCCCTTTGCCTCAGTATACTTTTTTAACTTTCCCCCTTGTTTCTCCAAAATGAGGGCTGCTTAAAATATTTTTAAATTTGAATGAGGGAAACCATCCCTTATTTTTGACATATTGTCGTGTTAACACCCTATATTTTTCTTTTCTGTAGGGGTGTATATGCAAATACCACAGTGTGTTTATGGAGGAAGTCAAAAAAAAGAGGAAAACATATTTTTAATTTTATAAAATGTCATTGTAAAAAATTTTGCTTTTGCAAAAAGCACAAATTAAAAACTTGTAGATTTTTATGATTTTTTCTTACATACCCATCTAAGAGGGTGCTGAATACAGAGGCGTATTCAGAATATATTTATTTAAATTTAATGGCCGTTATTAGTGAAAATAAAATATGAAATTTGTTGAAAAGTGGAACTTTTGGTGTTCTACCTTTTAAACAAAATCCGACCGAAATCATTATCATTATCATTAATAAATGCAACTTTTGTCAGGGTGTTCAGGTTTGAAACGGGTCACTCTATATATGTTTGCATTAATTTAAATGATCTCTTTTAGATGCTTAATTTAGAAGTTTCTTGATGCGGACACCGTAAGCTATGTGGTATTTAATAGTAACTGCAAGAAGCTTGATATGGGTGCTCTTAAGCCTTTTCTCTACATTATCAATGTTATGCGCATTATTAAGCCCTTCCTGGATCATAGCTTCTTCAGAAACCATAACATTTGGGAATGAAACTGTTACGTATCAGCCTAGTGTTGGGGTTTATGCGAAATGCAGCAAACCGATAGATTTCAATTACCCAGTGTGTACTCTTTTATCGACAAGAGGTTTTGCTACTGATTCTCATATCTTTCCAAATGTGTGGAAGGCGGCCATAGTATTTTTGGGCTTAGGTAACTACTTTTGAAAGGAAATCGATTTTGGAATTGTTTTATTCATTTCAAAACATTGCAGGTTTAACCATAATGTCCCTAACGGTGTGTATGGGACTTTTGAGCTGTTGCTTTCAAAGCATATTTAAAAAGAGCATATTCACCATTTCTGGGACTGCCCAAGCTGCTGCCGGTATTTATGACAGTACATATTTGTGCATGCAAAATATTACACTCAGCTCTCAATTTCTGTGCATGAGAATCTAATTGATGGTGGTGATTTTACCTAAAATGTGTTAGGATCGCACCACCAATAAGAAGTAGCAGAGGGGAAAGGAAAATATTTTAGGTAAAATCGCCATACAGTAATATCAGCTAACCGCAAATTCATCATCAAACTATAAAATCATTGTAATCATTTTTTTTTATAATTTCAATTTCCTTTGCAAACTTAAGATTGTTTTGTTTTTTCTAATGTTTTTTTTCTAAATCTTATCACCTTATTACTGAAGGAAATATTGAGTTTTATATTTCCAGTCATTGCATGGCTTATAAACCTTTGTAAATTTTTAAAAACCTCTTTCATTTTCAAGAACAGAGCTTTTTGAACTAATACGGGGTTTTACTTTTAATTCAAATGGCGAATCCTTAGGTTAAGAATATTATGCCCTTTAATGATATCCAGAAAGACACTTTGTATTGATAAAAAATTTTAGACAAAATCAATATTGATATTTTTAATAAAGAAAACTAAGACGTAGTGCATTGGATCTACCTAGTACAAAAATATTTGTAAGTAATTTTTGTTTTTAACATTTCGAATACTAAACACAGAGATTTGATAGTTAAACTTTTGTCAGTGAAATCCACAGTTATGTAGGTTGTATTTTGAACGATCTGTCATGTTCCTGATAGAAAAACCTTCTAAGTACTCATCATCAGTGTCCCATGAAAAAGGCACATTTAACCAAAATGGAGAACCAGGATGGCTAATGAGAGTAGGAATAACAAAAAACAAATAAATACAGATACTAGAGAAATTGCTTTCAATGTTAGTAATGAAACTGTTTGGGAAAATTTTGGGGTAGTAGCTAATGTACCCACACCACATTTAACACGTTCAGGGAATTATTCCTTCCAATTTTCCTCCACTTGTATTTCTTCAAATTCCTCAATGAATGTTGTCGATTCTTTTTATCAATGAGGGAAATTTCTCGAGAAATGCAATAAGGAACAAAACAAAACCCACATGAGGTACACGAAGATCGCTTTCAACATCAGTTTTCATTGAATGTTGGGTTGGAATTGTGCGTGACTGGCTAATTGGACTGATATGTCCTTGAAATTTTATAAAGCTTATCAACCAATATAACGAAACACCTTTTATGCCATAATCTTAAAGTTTGCTGAGCAAATTATCACGATTAGTGCAATGAAAACGCTCTGCTAAGATCATAGAAAATATCGATAGGGCAGTCACTCACATCGATGAATCTTATGGCTTCTTCATAAAAAGAATGTGTATCGTGAAAAGGTCTAAGCAAGCAAATTCAAATACCATTGAAAAGGTAAGAGGAACAATGACTGCTCTATAGTTTTCTAACAAAAGATCTTTTTTTTTTCCAAGTTTTATAATAAGTCAGAAAATTATGGGAATAATGTCCCTGGACTTTAATCACGGATTTTTTCCTGTCAGGTCATTTGAAGTCATTCCAATGGAAAATTAGGAAAATTTGAGAAATCTAAGAAACTTGCATTGCCTTGATCTTTAAAACAAAGCGGCTTTCCTCCGAATATCATCAAAGGACAAAATTGCTTAAAATAACCCAAGGAATCACACCTTGAATTTTTGCCATATATTTACTGAACACCTTGTACATTTGTAGGTATATGTTACATAATTGGAGTGATGTTGCATCCAATGGCTTGGGGAAGCAATAGGGTCCAAAAATTGTGCGGAAGAGACGCGTCACCATTCTACATGTCCGATTGTTCCATAGGCATCGGACTCTGGTTAGCAATCATTGGTACAGTTCTAACTTTTATTTGTGCATGTCTGTCTTTACCCGCTGAAAAATCTACCAGCAGCGACAAGGTCCAAGATAAGATATACGAGGGTCAAACTCTTATTTGTCTTACCTAAGTGCTGTAAGTATTATTATGCTCCCTTTCTTTCGGTATGAAAAAATATTAACCAACTTCTGAATCTATCTAGAGATATTTATAACGGGCAATATAAATTTGGTTTTGGAAAAAAATTCTACGAAATATTCGTATGTGAAAAATTAAATAGTAGGGTAAAAGGAAGTCGAGCAAAATCTTGTTAGATTCTTTAATAACAGGCTTTAATTACGGCTAATACATTAAAAGATTTATGTAGGACATGAAGAAATTACATGATTTTATCCATTATCTTTCTTAGGTTTTTTAAGTGAAGTAAACAATACATATCAAAGAGAATACATTTTAATTTTTAGTCTCGAAATGGTTATAACTTAATTTGACTCTAAGCAAAATTTGTTTTGTTAGAGTAACAAGATCATTTGAAAATTTCATCGCATTTTCAGTTTCTCTTAAGAAAAAAACGTTTTAATACTTCAAAATTTGTCATACTTTTTCCATACGAGACACTTGTTATTAGAGGGCAGGTCATAAATCTTTATAATCTTTATTCCATGTGGATCAGCAACTCTCATTAAATCTTGTATGTCTCGTACGCCCCAATCCGGATTTGAAGCTCTTATATTTTTATCAAAGTCTCGATTCGATTGGGGTTCTAAAACTCCGTTATTAGCGTAAGGTCCATACATAATGAGCAAGCCTTTCATTTTTAATACTTCACAAACATTTTTAAACAATGCAAGGGTACACGGGAAGGGGGTGACATGAATCATATTTATATTAATAACGTAATCGAAGTCATTGGGAACACCCCATGTTGTCCAGTCATCTGTAACATTAATTCTAATGGGATCCTTAACGTTTTTTGTAGGTGTTTCGTTGGCGTATGCTTTAATACTATTGAATAATGATGTGTCGTACTCTGATGGTTGAAATGTTAACCGTGGAAAGTGTGCAGCGAAATATGATATATGCTGGCCGGTTCCTGATGCTATTTCCAACACTTGTCCGTCTATATTTTTAGCCATATGCTTGTGCAGAACCTCGAGGATGGGACCTTTATTACTCTCCGCTGATGGGTAAACTATTTTGTTACTGGAAAAAAGTGCCTCGATTAATTCAGCAAGTAAGGGACCAAAGTTAATTTTTTCTTCCAAATGGAACGTTGATTTAGATATTTTTATTAAAAAATGTAAAACTTACCTCATTTTTAAAAAATTACAAGTTGAAAAAAATTCTTTCATCCACAGCATCTGGAACAAAATTTGTCATAATTGTATACCTTCGTTGTATCAAAACATACCAAATATTTAACGTTATGTACTTATATCTAGAATTAAGCTTTAATTTGTCTTAAAAATATTTTATATTGAACATATTTATGCACTTTTTATATTTATATTTTACGTGTTTATTAAAAATGTGTTTAAAAAATTATTCTTTTATTTTCCTTGGAAAAACTTCAGTTTTCGTTACGGAACTCTCAGCAAATTCTGTTCCAGTGACGGCCGGTTGAAAATTAGTCATATTTTGGTAACGAAACAATGATTTCTGAGGTATTTTTTTTTTATTACTTAAGAAATTAAATTTTTTTCACTATTTAAAATTTGATTTGATACCAATATTTAAGGGGCATTCCACGCCAAATCGACCACTTTTAACACTGACCCCTTTTGATTTGTTTGAAACGCTTTTATTGTTATCTACCCTATTGAAAACCTCTGAGAATTTTTTCAAATTTTTTCACCCAACTCAAAAATGTTATGAATTTTTAGCTTTTTTTTAAATAACCATAACATTTTCAAAAATTGAGTTATCAGGACGTTTCTTTTTAATTTTTGTTTTTATATGTACTTTTTGAAAAAAAAATAGATCAAAATTATCTGGACCTATCTTCAGTTTTTTTTTCAATTTTCAAAAAAAAACGAAAATTTCTCTGAACATTTTTTTTTCTTATAAAGAACTGACATTTTTTATTTTAAATCCTTCAATTTTTTCAGTGGCGTTTTTTCGTTTTCTATTTTTATTGATTGAAAAAAAAAAATTAATTTTGCTTATTTTACATATCATTTTGAAAATTTTTGAAAATGTATACAAGAATCCCAAAATTGAAAAAATTTATTCTATGCAGATTGTGACAATTTCAGTCAAAAGAGGATGGTTACAAAATGATTTATTTGAGTTCAAGTCTTTTTTTAAAACCCACTGTTCGTGCAAAAATGGACAAAATAACTTTTTTTTCATTTTCTTTGTTTTTGGATGTAGTTTTCAAAAAAAATACAAAAAAATTATTCAAAACGATCTTTTATTTTTTCTTATCTTTAAAAAAGAAATTGAAATTTTTTTCATGTTTACCACTTTCAATTATTTCTTTCATATACATTTTTTCAATGTGGTCGATTTGGCGTGGAATGCCCCATTAACATTAAATAATTTTTTTGAAAATTTAAAAATAAAAAACAGAAATGTATTTTTTCATCATGAAGTTTATGTAGAAGTAATGGGGTAAATTAGCAGTGATAAAGTGGTCATATTTTCATGAAGCACACAGAAAACTTTTATGACGAAAAAATTTCTGATGAAATTTACGAAAAAAAAATTAAAATAGGGGTGGCTGCTCTTGAGATCTTACACATGTATTTACAATATATTTTTTTCTTGATCAACTGATAAGTACAAAATTTTAATTTTTCTTAGTTACAGAATTATCAAATTATAGTTTAAATATATGTACATATATCATTATGAGGAAAAATGTATGCAAAAAATTAAAAAAGGTTGATTATGAAAAAATTTTATGAAATATTTTGCAAATAAATACCTATATGTGCAATCTTTCTTGATATCGGAAGGCCGGCAACCCCTTTCTGAATTTTTTATTTTGCAAATTTCATTTAAAATTCTTTCGTCGTGAAGTTCCTCTGTATGGGTCTAGATATCATCCTCTAAAAAAACTATATGTCCAATGCTTCGTGACCACTTTAATTTTCACGAGCCTTCACTGTAAATTAGAGTCCTTTTCAATTCGGTATTAACATTTATTTTCCTTGCCATCGTCAGGTAAAAAAAAAAATGACAATCATTGGAGAAAACCGAAACTGGTAGGAAAAGGAAAATAAATGTTTATATTGGATTAAAAAGTACTCTAATTTACAACCATCACACTTACCGCCATCCAGTATTACAGTGGGTTTACTTCAAAAGGTTGTGGGCCTAGAAATCATTTTCTAAAAACCAGTGTGTGTTCTACGTTGCATTATCAAAATATGACCGCATTAATTTTCACTAGTCGCCACTGTTCTATTCTTGAAATTCTTCAATTTTCTCTGTTTTTTTATAACTAAGTTTGCATTCACTTGACCAAAAAATAAAATGAATGTTAGCAATAAAAAATAATGTACCTAAAATTCTGCCCTAGCAGTACGAGGTTTGATCAAAAAGTTACGGAAATTTTCAAATTGCGTGTGTTGCATCGTCAATTTTTAGGCAGCTGCCATGCTTAGTTTGTGTTTCGCGAGCGAATGAATAAGACTTACCTCAGTGTTTTTTAGAGATTCTTGTGGTCAGACCAGAATTTGATATTTTCTGTTAAAACAGAATTAAGTGCAGCGAAGTGTTCAAAATCTTAAAGAAGGCCTTTGGCGACGGTACTATGTCACAGCCATGAGTTTATCAATGGTACAAATATTTTCAGAAAGGCCAAGAGATGTGAAAGTCCTAACCGTTTTCTTCAACTACAATGGAATAATTCATCACGAATTTTTATCGCTTGGTCGTACAGTTAAAAAGAAGTACTATCTATAAGTTTTGCACAATTATTTATGTCAGGCAATGAAGAGAAAATGACAAGAACACAAGAGACAATTCATGGATTTTGCACCACAACATACAGGCGCATACCGCTCTGCGTATCCAACAGTTCTTGGTGAAACACAACACCGTTGTAATGCTACAATCACCCTAATATCTGGTCATGACCCCTAGGACTTTTTCCTATTTCCCAAACTCAAAAGGATACTCGAAGGACGTTTTTCAACAATAAACGATGAAAGCAAAATCGCACACTGTGCTCATGACGAGACCTAATGAATTCAGCATTCAGGCATTCCATTAGTGTTTTTTAAATTGGAAACTATGTTGGCATAGTACTTTGAAGGGGATGGGAAAAAAATTGAAAATTCCGGTTACTTTTTTATCAAACCTCGTATAACATGTACATTATCGCAGAAACATAATTATCAATTCAGCACAAATATTTAGTTAAAAACGAATTGTTTAGTTTCTTTAAAGTGGTTCTTCATTCAGTTAAAATTGTTTTTCAGTCATTACTTTTATCCACTGTAATAATGTGATTTTAAACGTATAAGAAGAGAAATGTAATTAGTGGATATAATACCTAAAATATAATTGGAGACACTATTGGTTTTGTGTGGGAGGCATAAAATTTAACTGTTCGTCTTAAAATTATGACGTAGAGGAATTATTCATTTTGTGATATTATTACAGGCACAAGCCTCGAGGGTGAATAAAACGTGCAACTGCCTCACCAAGCATTTAACTTTAGCCAATATTTATGGCAAGGTAAATTAATGCATTTTATGAGAATACTGACAAGATATTTAGGTCATAACATAACAGTACTACAGCTTTGACATTTGGTAAACTAAAAAAATCAATGTCGAATTCTTCCAGTGTTGCCAATCCCCATTTGAAATGCTGTACATTGAACACCAAAGCCTTTTTACCTTTTTTCATTTTTTGTATATGAAATAAAAAAAATAGCAACATAAAAGTGTATATTGTCAACAAATAAATAATATAAATACAACTTCATTTACTTTTCTTTTACAATTTTCTTTTTATTTTTTACATTTGAAGGTATATATACACCGTGTCCAGTTTTCTTCAAATGATCAAATAATTTATTTTTCGAAGGAAAACTAGACTTACAGGTAATACAATTATGATCAGTATCAATATCTAATACGTTACGTTCAATTTCTTTTTTCATTTTCTTATCTCTATTTTTTTTATTGGCTTGCACTGTGTTTTCAGGTTCAGAACTTTTTTCATTAATGTCTGACTTCATTTTATTACTGTTTCTTTTGTTCTTCTTTTTGTGTTTTTTATCCGGGACGATACCCAAGTTTTCTTCAGATTCGATTTGCTCTGGAATAACTTTATCTACGTCATTATGTGTTTCCTGTAGATCAACTGGAAGAACGTTCCGAGATTTCTTCTTCTTTTTTGATTTAGTTTGTATAACATCTTCCATTTCAATATTATTTTCACTAACATCGTCATCTAAGATGTCTTCATGATTTGTTTCTGATTCGATACACTCTGTATCTTCAAGTTCTTCATCACAATCATTTTCGTTTAACATAAGTTCTTTTAGTGCAACTATATTTTCCTTATGTTTTTTGCTAAATTCATGATTTTCGAATGCATTCACCGTTTTAAAGATTTTGTTGCAGGCTACACAGTAAAGACTACTAAGATCGTTTTCTTCCTCTTCATCTTCAGAATTTGAAAATTCTTCTCCAAATTGTTCAACAAGATTTTTCTCTATTTCTTCTAATTCGGATTTAAAATTATCAAATTTGGACCACTCTGGTTGACTGCCAGATTCATTTAATTCTTGCTGCCTTTCCAATCTCTTCTGCTTACTTAATAGTTCCCTTTTCTTTTTGTTTTCCAATGATTTTTGTTCTTGTATTTTTTTTTGGGCCTGGACACGTTTATCCCTCTTTTTTACGAATGCTACTAGATTCCTGACTTCTTCATTGCGTTCTTTCCTAGCCTTTTGCCTGACTTTTTTGTTTTCTTTTTCTACTAATTTAACATATCTTCTATCTTTAGTTGAAGTTATATCATACGGATCTAACCACACATAACTTTTTTTTGTAGTATAATTTAACCAATAGTTATAAAATTCTGACACTTTCTGATAATCAGTTTGGGAATTCCCAAAACTAGGTACTTCACAAAATTCTTCTTTGTCTTGCATAAATTCCATATCTTCTTTTGCAATACTTTCAAAAACATTTCTATATATTGCATAAAACCCTTTCTTGTCATCTTCGTATCCCTTAAAACATGAGGTATTAAAGTAGTGAAACACATCTAAACTTTTATCTTCGAATTCAGAATTTGAACCACGTAAAATTTGTTCTCTATGGTTGTCATACCATGCTCTCTCCTGACGATCGCTTAGTACTTCATAAGCTTGTTGTACAAGTTGAAATTGTTCCTTGGCAAGCTCAGGATTTTCTAAATTCTTATCGGGATGCCACTTTAAGGCTAATTTCCTATAAGCTGTCTTTACATCAGAATCAGAAGCGTCTTTAGAGACGTCCAATACTTCATAATGACACTTCATATTTATTTATTCTCACTGATATACGACAGATAAAACGTATATGCTTTAATCACAAATATAATGTTATTTTTGAGAACGTTATTTCACACCATAGATTTGTACATAACCAAATTTTGAATGTCTCTCTTTTTTCCTTTTTCTTTAGGTTATTTCCAATTCTATGGTTAACACAATTGACAGATAGAAAAAAATATTAATACCAACATAAAACAAATATGAGATGCATTCTTCTGAAATATATTAAGAACTTGAAGATCGTTCACTTATATCACACTCCCTTGCACTGAAACGATTAATAATAGTCCAGGAGTGCTCCAACTGCTACACCCGAGTGGAGCTTAGATATCGCATTAGTTCACTTCACTCGGAAACGCTATTAATTTTTAGTTATTTAGGAATTTAGGGTTTTCGTGCACTTGTACTTTTTCACCAAACACCAAATAGCAAATAAATGTCAAACAGCTGATCGTTGGATAAAATGGCGAATTACAGATCTAAAAATTATACAAAAATATAATTGTAAAAGTAATCCGTCCTCTTGTAGACTCGGAAACAAAATGTAAGGCGTTATATTTATGAAATATGTAGTGAATGCAAATTTTTATCAAGTGAAAAGTGTGGTTAATTATCATCTTGTGACATCAATTTTTTTTATATTTATGTTATTGTACCAGTTTAAACCACTATGCGTAATATAATTTGTTACTTTCTATTAATTAGATCAATTAGAATGGTTTCAAATTATTTTGACTCTTAATATATGTTATATCATGTGACTTTTATAAGCAAAACAATAATTGACACTAATTTGTTCCATTGAACTTGTAATAAAATGTTTTTCATTGTAAAACATAGTACTAATTAATTTATTTATTTTAGACAAAATGCCAGGCACTAGTCTTGTGGTACCAGTTGTGCTTTGGGGCAAATGTGCCCCAACACACTGTATATCGTGCATTTATCTTTCAAAAGATCAAAAAACTTTGGCTACAGGATGTTATGACGGTCAGATATGTTTATGGTGAGTTTTTGTTAATTTGTGTTAGTTTATTACATTGTACCATTTGAGCAACAAATCAATACTTGTCTCATAAATTTATTGACTGATTTTCATAAAATGTACAACAATTAACATATTTTACTTTGATTTTAAAAGATTTTAATATTATTTGCAAAACCAATGATATATGCTGTAAATATTAGGAATTTAAAAAAAAAATTGTCTACGTTGCTGGCCCATCTTAACATTCATTAATTCAGGTTATATAAATATTTTTTAAATGATTAATGTATGAAATTTATAGATTTTGAAGATATTTCTAGGTTTTTTTTTATTCAAGTTGTTCACTTAACAGAAAAAGTTAATAGCGCTAAAAATTTATGTTTTATTAGGTTGAAGAGTTAATAGAAGTTAAAGTATTTGTACAAACCTGATTCTAAATCAACTTAACTTTCTACTTACTAATACGAGTACTGTCTACCTAAATTGAAAGAAAATTCCTTAATACACATATAAATTATTCTCTCTTAGGCTGTTTAATGATACAATCAAGTCATATAGAGTACCTAATAATTTTTTAGGCAAGTTGATCCCGAAACACTCCAAATGACCCCAAGATGTTTACTAGTAGGTCATACAGCTCCTATATTATGTATATCTAAAGCCTCCATAGTACAAGATAATAACTATATAGTGTCCAGTTCTGAAGCAGGTGAAATGTGTACTTGGGATTTGGTCGATGGTAAATGTAGAGAGGCAGTTAAATTACAGCAAGTTCACACAAATATGCAGGTATTTACTTGTAAAAAAAAAGATATTCATCTACTGCAAAGCTCTAGTAACAAGTACTTTTATTTCTTTTAGGCTTATCTCATGTGTACTTGCGAGGATGTTAGATTATTCTGTAATGGATACTATCCAGAGATAATAGTCATGGACCCATTTAGTTTAGAAGTCTTATTTGTATTATCCTCCAAACAGAACCCTGATTGGATAAGTGCTCTTCATGTAAGTAAATAAACGCATATAGTTAATGTATATGGTAGACAACCTATTTAATGTTTACCAACTTCTGACAAATTTTGCAAGGAATTGGCACAATTGACTTTGTTTTTGATACTATTTTAAAATTTAAGATAAATTAGCTGATAGAATGTAACTAAATAAATAAACTCACTAAAAATCTCCAGAAATTCGCCAGTAAATTAGAACAAAAACAGGGTAAATGTGAAACGGATTTAAATAAATGTAAAATATAGTTTAAATAATGTAACTGCGCCTACATCCCCATTTTTCATAGGTTTTGAGACCTACGAAACGTAAAGACGATGTGGTCTTAGCGTTGACCACAACAGGAATGGTCAAAGTTTGGACGTTACTGGGGCACGAGAATAAACATTCAGAGCCCATATACGAAAATGAGAGCAAACAAATCAGAACATTGAACGCTGTATGCTTACAGTGTTGTTCGTATAATCAACGAACGGTTTTAGTTGTTTGTACCAAGTATTGGCAAATATACGATGCAGGTAATATAAACTTCGATAATTTAAAGCATTAAATTGTACGACGAGTATCGTAAAAGTTTTATTACAGTACAGATATTAATTAGCGCAATATATTATTATGAAATGTTTTCCTGATTTGAAGACAGTTACAATTTAGTAAGAATGTTACGTCTTACAGGTGATTTTAGTGTTTTATGTTCCTATTTGGCGCCCAGAGGTGAGAGATGGATGGCTGGAGACTTTCTAGCTATCGACCGAATAATAATGTGGTCAGATGCCGGAAAAGGTTACCTTTATAAGTTACCCGCTAAGTAAGGCTTGTATAATACGTAATACTAATAAATCTGAATATTCTGGTGTAGGATAGTAAAAATACTGTTTTAAATTTGGATACGGTTTTGGTTTTTTTTTTTTTCAAGGGGGTTTTGGGTGTTTTATATGGTTCTTGCTTTGTGAACAAGTTTTTATGATCCTGCACTGTCACATGGAACAAAAAATTGGTGTAGGGTGTTTTTCAGTCAATTAAAATAATATTAACTAAAACGTTTGCCTCGACATTGCCCCAGTTTGAACAATAAATGTCATCGTTGCCTGCTAATTTCTAATACATATGACCTTGATTATAAATTAGCTTTGTTTGCAATTTGAACATCAATTTAACAATATAAAACAACTTTTTTTTATTCAATGAACAGATTGAGAATTGTTATATATTCTTCAGTGCCGTAGGTACTGATGATTTTATTAAAAAGTAACGTCATATTTTGGATTGTGCCCATTTAAAGTGAGATTAAATGAGACCGAAAAAAAATACACCCTGCACCTTTCGTCAGCTCGTAATTATTAAGACAGTTTTATTGTTCTACCAGAAAAAGATAATAACTTTTTTTTAATAGTTTTGCAATTTAAGTTCCATTTGGTTTTATTTAAAATGCACCTGCCATTAGCCAGTTGTATTAATACATTTTTTTTTATTTCACCTGGACAACAGCAAACTACGTGGCAAGAATATTAATAATAGGTTAGAAAGTCACTATATTTATGTGGGATTATTATTTGCTTTAGGCAGAAAAACTTCTTTACTGTTCAATTTGTATAGAATCTACTTAAAAAGGGAAAGTTACGTTTCGCACAAAAATAATATTCATTATCGTTTTTTTAAGATACTTTAATTCATTCAATTCAGTTTTAATTAATTATTTTACTATGGTCATTTACAAGTGTAAATTTTACAGTAATATTTTGGTTTAAATTGATTTATTTTTTCTAAAATTATTATTAATTATTTATTTGTTACAACTGTCCATTATCTTTCCCAAACTCTTACATATCTAAGTGATTATTACAGTTAAAAATCTTTGACTTTTTAACTTTTAGACACGGATAAGAGTAAGGAAGTTTTTTAATCAGTATTTACCTTTTCACAACTAACATTTTAACGACTTATAAGTATAGGTATTTAAAATTTTTGTAGGAATTTGTGCTATTACTTTACTATTACTTCTAATAAGTATTGAATTAGACAAATATTTAATACCAAATGCAAATACACGCTACAAAGTGAATCTAAATTATTAGTTTCCAATTTTAACTTTGTTTTATATAATTTTCGTAATAATTTTATGAAGTTAATTCATTTAATGCTTAAAAGGTAAATACTAGCAACATTGCTTATTTTTTAATTCCTTGCATGTACTAAAATTCCTTTTTTCTCTATAAGGTTATGAATAAAGGCTGTCACAAATTCGCTTCTCACTACAGGGACCTCGGAAACGGTAAGAAATACGAAGTAGCTTAAATAGGGGCAAAGTTGCGTAATCAGGGGACCAACATTATGCCTCTAAAAAGTCAGGGCTAACATGATTAGTTTTCGAAATATTCGAAAAAGAAATTTTGGAAATCCGTTTTTGTTTCATTTCAGCCTTGTTTGAGGTGACATTGAAAAAAGAAGCACACTTTCTAATGGCCATTTTTTGCCCTCTATCGAAGGGTATAATAAATTTTTATATGTAACGTTTCGTCTCTCCAGGACCATCATCAACTTCATTTTTTTAAATAAGACCCTAGAAATTTTATTACATTTTTTGCAAGCCTTCATGACCCCCAATACTGTACTACCTCAGCCCGAACCAGATTCGAACGTTTTGTCTCGAAAAATTTATCTTCAGTGTATTCGTTCCAAATTTTTCTAAATTTTTTATTTAGATTTCTTTGTTTATTGAATTATTGTACACTGTAAGTGTCGTTAGACCCTGTGAAATCCATCTAGTTATTTAAACTATTACCACCACACGTTTCAATAAAACATTTATTATTATTAACTATTACCATCACTTGGTCATACATAAATAACTCAATAAGTTATTGCTTCAAAATTAAAACATTATTACAATTTTAATTTTATTATGACAAATTAATTCTTAAAAATGCATATGAACAACCAAAACGCCAATGAATATTATTCTTTAAAAAATTTCAGTAAATGTTCAAAAACATTTCGTTTTGGCTAAGGTTGAAAATGAAGATCAGCGTAATATTATCAGAATTTATTATATCTGCAACTGCAACTGTGAAAGAGCATGTCAGATGTATTTGTATTAATATCCTGAAAGAAATAGATCGGAATTTGTTTGAATTTTGAGCACTCGAGAAACCTAGAAATAACTATGGACACGGAATAAAACCCTAATAATGTTTTATTCGTATATGTGGTAATAGTTTGAATAACTAGATGGATTTGACAGGGTATAACGACACTTACAGTGTACGATAATTCAATAAACAAAGAAATCTAAATAAAAAATTTAGATAAATTTGGAACGAATACACTGAAGATAAATTTTTCGAGACAAAACGTCCGGATCTGGTTTGGGCTGAGGTAGTACAGGATTGGGGGTCATGAAGGCTTGCAAAAAATGTAATAAAATTTCTAGGGTCTTATTTAAAAAAATGAAGTTGATGATGGTCCTGGAGAGACGAAACGTTACATATAAAAATTGTTTATGCCATTCGATAGAGGGCAAAAAGTGGCCATGAGAAAGTGTTTTTCTTTTTTCAATATCACCTCAAACAAGGCTGAAATGAAACAAAAACGGATTTCCAAAATCGTTTTTTTATTTCAAATATTTCGAAAACTAATCATGTTAGCCTTGATTTTTTAGAGGCATAATGTTGGTCCCCGAATTACGCAATTTGCCCTCATTTAAGCTAGTTTGCATCTCTTACCGTTTTCGAGATCCCTGTAGTTAGAAGCGAATTTGTAACAGCCTGTACAACAAATTATTTAAACATGGATTGTTTACAGAATGTTTGCTGCACACTTTTTCAGTTTTTTGTCTGGTTTAGTTCAGTTTTTTGCAAACATGAAAAAATCCAAAACTCGTGTTATGCATTTTTTATTGAAAAATTTTATTAACTTCAGAATTACCCAGATTTTTTGATTTTTTGTAATTATATATTTTATGTCTTGAACATACCTTTCAAAATAAAAAATATTCATAAATTTTTTAAAATTATTTCTGATGAATATATTTGCCTTTTTAAATTCAACCAATTTTGAAATACTGTTCTTTTGTGTAATTCTGAACATTTGTTGAAATAAAAAATGAGTTAATTTTATTTTTCATGTGGTCTTGTACTTGAGGACGCATACATTCTTGTTAAAATTAAACTTGAGATGGGACATATTTTGGAAAAAAAATTGAATTAAATTGGTCAGATACTAAAAAAGTTATAGACATGAAATTGTAGCTTCTTAATTGGAGATTATTAAAAAATTATTTTGTTAAAAACAGTACTAAATTTTATTACATATAATTTATAGGATTTAAAGTTTAGTCTGGTTAAAAATTTATTCAAGCTAGTAACAATATTTGGTTTTACGTCTGTAAATATTATCTTCTCAAATACATATTATCACTTTTTCCATTTTGTAGATTTACTTAAATTATAAATTAAATTATTCATACGGATTTAGTATATGCAGGATATCTGTACACTGCACAAATATTTGGTTTTATGGTTTATAGTTTTTGTTGCTGTGGCATGGTATATTTTTCTGCAATTATCGTGCAACGTTTTTCCTTTAATCTATAGCTCTCATCAGTTTGCTTCTATTCTTTACCCACAGTAGAAATTTTTTATAGTATCACTTGTTATTTTTTTTTCTTTAGATGTTAAAAATATATAAGAATTTCCTATTAAAAATTTCTGTTATGGTGTCGTGTGTATGTACTTGCTTAGTTTAATTACTGATTATTTTGCTGATTTTATACATGTCAAATAAAAAATTTGCAAGAGGAACTAAAAAGTATGGTGAGAAGTTCCATTGCATTGCTTTTTTTTACTAAAAAGTGAAGGTTAATAAATTTTGCATACATTAATAATAATTATTCAATGCAGGTCACTTCTATTGGACATTTCAAAGACAACAGTTAAAAATAATTTGTTTGAGTATTTAATCTTATACTGCTGTGATAATGATTAGTTGATGAACTTTATCTCAAATATAAGTTCCGTTTGAACTACTAAACAAATTTTTCTATTTTTATCATATTAAAAATTGAAAATCTTTGGATCTCAAGTAAATAGATTTTTTTAAATTTTATTTCTATGGCAAGTTATTCCATCTTTATATGAAAGAAATCAGTAAAATAATTACATGTACATAAATGTGCAGGGTAGTTTACAACTATACTATTTATAATTTATATTTTGTTATAAAATGAAATATGAAAACGGCTCAAATTAATTTTTAATTTTGGTTTTATTTAAAAAATTTTTTTTTTTTTCAGTACTGATATACGTTTTCATATTTCTAATATATATTTTCGCCCTGTACTCTTTGCCTTGTACATAAGTTAGTACGAGATCAAATCACTTTTGGATAATTTTTATTGAGCTTTCACAAAATTCCACCATTTCTTTAAATATATAATCCCTATAACATTCTTTTGCATGACACGAAAGAAATTAAAAAATACTGAATAAAATGAATATTTATATGCACAGGGTGTAACTTTAAGTGGGGATCAGTTTATAGCAGTAGTATCTGTCCCAAATTACTATGATTTTTTTTTAATGAATAAATGGTGGAGTTATTCGTTTTTAAAACTGTACTTAAATTCTTGTTCTCGGAAAGCGAAACTGCAATGGAAAGTAATTTATAAAAACAGATTGCTTTTTTATGTTATAGTCAGAGTATTTTTTGATGTCTATGATGACAAAATGCCAAAAATAAAATCAAATTTAAGGTATTTTTAAATAATTATTATTTTTTTGCGCGGTTAAATTAAATATTAGTCAATACTGGTATAAGAGTAGTCAAGTAAAACTAATTTAAATTAAATAATAACTATACTCTCTTTTTTATAAAACATACCTAATAAACAATGAATAAAAATAATTACTATTTGATAATTTGAAATATTTTTTAAAATTACATTAAAAAGTTTTTAACAAAAATTATTTAAAGCACTGTGTTTAGTTTGTGAATCTCAGTGTCAATGACATTTATTGTCTTAATTTGGGTAAACTACATATTAATCCACCTGATGTGATATAGGCCAATGAATAAAGCATTAAATCAGTGATTTTGTGACAAAAATACTAGTAGCAAACGTAAAAGACAGTCTGTAGATATATGCTTATATGTTTCTTACTCCAATTTACCATTAATGAATTTTTTTATAAACATTTGTATGCAAAAAAACATATTTTTAATTTTTTGCTTATAAAACCTAAACTAGTGAAACAATTTGAATGCTACAAAGACTCCCTTGACCATCCTCCACTACTCGACCGTGTACGCGCGCTCAGCCGTTTTTTAGCATGTTTGGAGGAATTTTTCATCTATTTCACATTATTTTATCGGAAAATTAGAATATACATTTTGTGATATTATACTTCTACTTTTAAAATCCGACTGAAAAATTAAAATCGGACCACCACCAACGCATCCAGAAGTTTTGCAAAATAGTGCTACAAAAAATTCAAATTGTAATTGTGCCAAAACTAATAGTCCGACAGCCCTTGCTTTGTGCACACTTAAAGTACATTATAATTCACTACTTTTGAGCACAGGGTCAGCTGTACAACTTAAGAAATAGCAGAGTAATGAATTTAAAAAAAACCCCTAAATTTTTCGATTTTTCTTCGTTTCAAATTATCCAATCGGATTGATCAACCTCTCGTTTTATTTGTATTTCGATTCTCTACAAATTGTCTCTTTATAGCATTCAGATTGCTTTATTATTTTAGATTTTATAAGCAAAAAACTAAAAAAAAAAGCGTTTTTTGCATAAAAATGTTTATTAATGGTGTAGCCTTGCATTTAGTATTCACAACGGAATTTGAATAAACAAACTTAAGATGTATGTTTCTAATGTTTAGAGGTACCCTCCCTGTTATTTAAAGTTGCACCCTGTATATATAACTAGGCACAAATATTTATTTAAACGGGTTAGTCTTATTTTGTTCTTTATATTAGAGATTTTCTAATTCATATGTGCTCATTCTAACATATCATATAGTTTTTGTGAATCTCAATAAATAACATGCTACAAAAGTGAGAAAAATCAAAAAAGCGTATGTTATAATTACACTGTCAATTGCAGCAGTACACCAGATCACAAAGACTTCCATACACCTAGTGTAGAAAGTGATAGCCCATTTTTATATTGTATCTTGAACCAACCGGATAATAAGGTAATTACAGTTAATATTCAGTAAACTATGTTTTTTTAAAGCAAATACTTTGAGCTGATCGATTTTTGTATTTAAATAAATAAAATTTTAGCCGCTCTCGTGCCCCCCCGCGATGAGATTTGTTACAACCATCAAACACGACAGACAGTACCGATATTTATTAAGGGGGGACTCGGAGGGGTATGTCCTAGTCTGGAACATTCCTGATATATCGGCAGCTCAGTTGCAAGAGATACAGAGGCAGAAACCTCCGCAACCCGTTATTATGACCGCGACTATAACCACCAGCCTCACGGAAGCGTGGGAGAGCATGGTTCCTAGCCCTGTAGGGATTTTGGATCAATTGGAAAAACAAGAAGGACAATGTGAGTAAATGAATATGTGATTTTTGGAATAAACCAAATTCAACATTATCAACATCAGAGAGCTTCTAACAGGTGTTAATATAACGATTGCTCTCCATAACTTTGTATATTTTTTAGCAATTAAACTGACAGCTAGTATTTATTTGCCTTTACAAAGTAAGTTGGTTGTTGGTAGAGAGGACGGTTCAATAATTATCGTTCCTGCGACACAGACGGTCATGTTGCAACTTTTACATGGAAATCATCAGCAGTACAAAGGTATTTTAGTAAAATCTTCTAGGCGGCTTCGTGATAATAGATTTTTTTTTAGGATGGCCCCAACATCAGATACTATCGGGTCATGGCGGGAGAGTAAACTGTCTTTTGTACCCACATAGAGAACATTCTAGATATGATAAAAACCATCTTGTCTCGGGTGGTGTGGATTTTGCTGTTTGTTTATGGGATTTGTACGCTGGTACACTACTTCATAGATTTTGTGTGCATGCAGGGGAAATTACTCAGTTGCTTGTACCTCCCAATAATTGCAGTGTTAGTATATTTTACACAATTTTGATTGGGTGTTTTTGGTCAAGTTAAAATTTATGTCAAGATAAAAAATGTCGCAATTGCTTGAGTTAGATACAAAATTTGAAGTATCGCCTTTAATATTTTATTTGATATGTTATACAGGGTGTTTTCTAAGTCCATGTCATAACTTCTGAAGGTTGTTCTGTAGGTAATTTTTTGACAAATAGTCCTTCCTATGTCCCTGCGGCACGTTTTGATGTCGACTTTTTTGCTGTTTCATAGTTAATTTTTTTAAAAAGTGTCTCCAAAGTGCTATTGTCTCCTTGGACAGAGATGCAATATAGATTGGTTAAAATCCAAACATCGACAAAATGTCGGGCAAAACGTCAAAAATAATTCTACTTGCGGAGATGTTTATCGGGAAGCTTCAATCATGGTGGGGTGTTATTTTACTGTCTGAGATCGGCTTGGGAGTATCGCAAATGATATTATAGTGGAAAAACTTAAATTTAACATTTCAAAGTCTTGTTTGTAGACTTACATGGCTGTCGTTAATGGTTGAATGATTTCCAGGCTGGTTGCCACGTCGTCAATTTACAACTCTTGACGTTTCGAGAGACATATCGCTCTCTTTTTCAGAAGTTTCAGAGTAACTTCTGAAGAAGAGAGTGATATGTCTTTCGTAACGTCAAAAGTTGTAAATCAACGACGTGGCAACCAGCCCGGAAATCATTCAACTATCAACATTTCAAACTTTGAAATTTCTATTTGAGTAACTTTTTTGGAGTTTTGGTATTTACACCGTATTTAAAGTTGTAGGTATTTCACTTTACAAAAGAAATTTTTTTTGTGAAAAATAGGTTTTAGGCACAGTGTGCTAAATCGGGTTGTTTTTAAAGATCCAAGTTAAAAAACTAGAGTTATTTAAATAAATATTGTTTTCTAAATTCAACATCATACTTTTTGAAAAATTATTCGAGCAGTCAATCTTACGAAAATATGTCATAGACATAGAAATCGCCCTGTAAATAAATTTATTTTTATTCTAACGGTAACCAGTGAAAATATATTCACATGGTAAACGTTTTTCCTTTAATTCTGCCGTCGTTTGTTGATGACATTAAATGTATACATTTTTAGGCGAGGATTCAAAAATGTATATGTTCTGTAGCTTCAGATCATTCAGTAACACTTTTAAGTTTAGCCGAGAGAAAATGTGTTTGTTTAGCTTCAAGGCATTTATTTCCCGTAACTACAATAAAGTGGAGGCCTAACGATGACTTCATGATAATCGGTTGTTCTGATGGCACTGTATATGTTTGGCAAATGGAAACCGGACATTTGGATAGAGTACTGCAAGGTAAAGTAATATCCTGCTGCAAGTTTTGTGTATCACATTGAATTTGGTGTTCCCATCGTGTTACGGTATTTTAAGGATAGAATGTAGAACCCTGATATCACAATATTCAAGTAGATGTCACTATACATAATATGTTTGTAGTAAAAATGGTACCACTATTACCATTTATAGTATTCGAGAATTTTTGTGACCACAAGGCGAACTAATCGCCCTATGCACATGAAAAAGCGTACTGCTGCTCTATAAAGGGTATTTCAGAAAGACCTCCCATAAATTCAGGGGGGTGATAGTACGACAAATAATAAGAATTTTTTGTCTTATGAACTATATGTCTATCTGCTCTTGTTTTCGAGATACAGAGCGACAAAATAAAATTTTTTAAATAGAATTTTTACGGAAATTTCCAAACGGTGCGAAATATTTTTATGAAATTTGGTATTCCGGGATTTTTAAGGACGCCAAATATGCTGATCTAATTATTATTTGGATATTTCATAGAGGACGCTAGTTACGCTACATTCCTATTACATTTTAGGTTCCAATTTTTTTAAGGTTAGGTTTTTTACCATTCAAGCTCCAATTTCTAATGTACAATTTTATTTTCTAAAAATGATGTACCTACTTTTATTGAAACTTCCTAATGTGGATGGTTTTCGAGAAACAAGGCTTTTAATTGAACTATTACAATATTACGGTGAAGAAAATAAATGACTTTTCTCAAAGTAGGCTTATATCAAAACTTATTGATGGATGTCTCATAAACAAAAACCTAACCTCAAAAAAATTTAAACTTAAAATGTAATACGAATGTAGCGTAACTAGCGCCCGCTATAAAATATACAAAAAAATAATTAGACCAATGTATTTGGCGTCCTTAAAAACCCCGGAATACCAAATTTCATAAAAATATTTCTCAGTTTGGAAATTTTTGTAAAAATTCTTTTAAAAAGTTTTATTTTCTCACTCTGTATCTCAAAAACAAGTGGAGATAGACATATAGGCAGTTCATAAAACAAAAAATTCTTATTTTTTGTCGTACTATCACCCCCTGAATTTGCGGGAGGTCTTTCTGAAACACCCTGTATTCAGAATCTTAATAAGAAACTTTGATCGGTATATTTATTAATACAATAAAGTAAAAATTAACCTTCAATAATTCTGTATAAAAATGTTCTGAAAGAGCAAAAGTCTAACTTTACGATGGGAATGTTGGTTGTCAGATGGCAGCATCAGGATCGTCCATTCCCAAAATATAAAAGGCAACCCTCGCATTCATTAAATATTTGGTTATTTCAATTTATATTTACTTCATTGTCTTTGTATATATTTTGCCTAACGATCTTTCCATTGTTTCAAAAGCCGTATTGTAATAAAAAGAGGTCTATTTTCTATGCGTAATGTAAAATATCGACAACCTCAGTACTAGATTTTTAGTGTTAAAGGAATATTGGGTGGCAAATTGCAATTCTCACCTGTACCTTTATTTCTAAAAACCTCAGGTATAGCAGCCGAAGAGGTGTTATATGCCTGTGANTATACGACAAGAATGTCGGTTGTCAGATGGCAGCACCAGGATCGTCCATTCAAAAAATATAAAAGGCAACCCTCGCATTCATTAAATTTTTTATTTCAATTTATATTTAATTTGTTGTCTTTGTACATCTTTTGCCTAATGATCTTTCCACTGTTTCAAAAGACCTATTGTAATAAAAAGGGGTTTATTTTCTATTTGTAATGTGAAATATCGACAACCCCAGTACTAGATTTCTAGTCTTAAAGGAATATTGGGTGGCAAATTGCAATTCTCACCTGTACCTTTATTTCTAAAAACCTCAGGTATAGCAGCCGAAGAGGTGTTATATGCCTGTGAGCAAAACGAGGGAACCAGTACATCTTCAGAAGTTGGTCTAGCGAACCCTGCCGTTCACTTCATCAGGTGAAACATTGTTTGTCCTTGATTCGTGGATTATTTAATATTTATTTTCCTGCAGGGCGTTGAGACATAGAAATCTATCGGCGATTCGGCACGCGACACAACGAGGCTTACATCAGCTGCATATGTTAGGGACTCATACAAATAACGACGATCCCCACATGCAACGGACCAATAACTGTTCTCTTTCTATCCAGGGACTCCGAACGAATCCGAAAGGTACGAGTAATGATTTTATTTTGATAACGTCAAATCTACTCGTTTATGCCAATCTTAAATTCGTATTTTCGTTTCAGATCCTGAGAGTCACATATTGTTCTTTGACATAGAATCCCTGATAATAGAGCTTTTAACTGAGGAGTACAACATGATGTCGCCGGGAAGTTTGGAGGCTGCTGGGTTAATTTCGCAGTCGGAATACCTAAAAGTGGCTGCTCTCACACAGAGCGCCAGTCCTGATGCCCACAAAAAAATTGTTGGTAAGTTAGGAAACTGACATTGGCACTTTTCAAGGAGCATTTCTCAACCTTAGTGTTTGATGTATAAAAAGTTTTTTCTACAATTAATTTTCTGTTTCATAATTTTTTATGACAAAAATATTTAAAAAAAGTTTATAATTCACAGAGTGAATCTCAAATATGTACAACCGCTGTCCAAATGGAAAGTAATCATTTACGCACAAATTGAAAGTATGCCAAGTCACGTGTCAAGAAAATTATTTAAGACTTCAGTGATTTAGTTTCATACTGTAGGTTAAATCTAGCTAATGCAACACTAATACAGGGTATTTGCAAAACAGTGGCATGTTCAGTGCAAACTGCAACACTTTTCTTGAAAATCACGTGAACAATTGAATGTTGTGTTTATGAAAATATTATTTAATGTTCATTTAATTAAATTTTAACTTTTTTTATTCCTATTTGTTTTAGCTGTACCGATATTTAAAATTCTATACATATTTATTTAAGATCTACCCATTGTATTTTTATTATAACCTTTAAAATACCTGAATTTAAGCATCTATATGTACTAAGATATGAGTAAATGCTTCTTTTTAACGACATCAATGTAAAAAATATGACTTACTAATTGAATACTAACTTTTTCCTGCAAGACTTTTTTGGGAAAATGAAAAATAAAGCCGAAAATATGGAAATGATAATAAAAGAGAAAGATAAACACGGTAAATTTCTTTAAAGTAGTGCTTTCTTGCTTTATTTTCTATGCTTACGAAAATAGATTAGCGAATTTTAGTTTATGTTGTTTAGCTCTAATAAAGTCTGATTAGTTGCAGCTTAACCTAATCAGTCACTTTAGTCAGTGATTAACTTACCTTCCTTTACTCGAACATATTAAATATTAAGGAAATCAAAATGAGATATTTTGATATAAAGTTCTTATGAAAAATTTATCTCGACAGTTTTCCCGTTTTTTTTTGCTTTCCTACTAAAATTGCTATGATCAGAATTAATTAAAAAATGTTGTATTCCTTAATGTTTAACACGAATGCTAGTGTTTAACTTATTAAAATACTAACAGTTTTCTATAACATTTTTAAAAAGGCATACTTGCAAAAATGAAGGAAGGAGCTGAAAATGCTTTAGCAAAAGCTGAAAGTGTGCTGAAGCAAAGTGGTGATAACTGTAAAGGTAAGATTTACACGAATATAATGCACATTTTTTTGGTGGTTACTTCACAGGCAATGGTAAATCACAGTAAATCACACATACCTTTTTTTTTGTAATGTTACTTATTGCGATGATTAAATTATATTATTTTTTCTGTACATATTTCAAATCTTCGACTGTTTGAGCGAACAGCGTGTTTTTCTTTTGGGATTTTTATTTTAACCCGACAGAACCCAACAAGGGAAGCAATTTTTTCCAATAACATTTTTTTCAAATAATAAAAGCTAATGAAAAAGCTATTTTAAATAATTCGTTGAAAAATAATGTAATAATAGCTAAAAGTCAACAAAAAATTTATTAAGGGTTTTTTTCTATTACCTTTCCTTCTATTAAAAAAAAATTGTCAAAAACACTTTTTTAGGCCGCTACAGTGGTGTAACCCCTGAATTATGTTTTCATATTGGCGTTTCCTCTTGTTTTATTTTCTTTATATCTTATACCAACAACTCGCGCACGGTGCGATGTCTCATTAAAGTAGAGAGTTAACTAGGTTTTAAGCAATACACTACATAATTTCGACTATTAAAATTTACATAAATTAATTTATATATGGGGAGTGTCACCAAAATGCTGCCATAGCATCGCAATTCTACTTATACAAAGTTATCTAAATTAAAACGTTAGTTTTTTTTCATTGTTTTTGAACTTTTGAAAAAGTGTTCCTACTTTTTTAGGTCTGTGTCATGTTAAAAAGAAAACTAATAAAAACCCTTAAATAATTCTTTTGAGACATAATTTTGCTCTAATTAATGTGGCCACAGTATTTTTCGATGTATTGGAATTGAAAACTTTGTAAGAGAAAGAAGCCACATTCGTTAAACCAAAACTGATGTTTAAAAGTACATATATGTTTGTGAGCAAGGGCATCAAAAACTTGTTTGCTCTTTCTAACTTTATTATGCATAGCTTAATTTGTGAAGCGAAATGTCTGTTGAATTGCAATGTGCTTTGTTTTCATCAAAAAGTAAATATTACTGATTTTCTTGATAAAAATCTACAATTTTTGCTGACGTCAACGAATCGTTTATAATTTTTTTCCAGATAGATTGATAAATAAAAAAACAAATAAAATTTCGGCACACTAACAAAAGAAATCTGATCCAACAAATACTTTTTATGTTCGTGTTACTGTTTGTTTCAGATGCAATCGATTCTAGTCTTCGGTCCTACAAGCCTAATTCTTTAGGCCCCCTCGATACTAGTCATGCAATGGAGATAGCACAGTTGTTGCTGTCTTTGTTACACTCTTGGGGTTTAGATCACGACCTTGACAGAGTTTGTCAAGTTAAGTTAGGTTTATTGAGACCGATGGTAAGGACTTTTTATTATAGAATTTCATAAATATTAACCGCTCTACGTTTACAACTTTATTCTAATTTTAAACATTTAATTTTTTGGAAATATCAGTTTCGTATTATAAAATATTCCATTTAGGTTCCAATTTCGTATGGAGTTTTGTCCAAAGCCAATCACATGTCACTTTTTTTACCGACATGGCACAACACCATACCAGTAGACGAAGAAATGTTACCGGCTGATTTGTCTTTAACTAACAGTTTACCCCCCGAACTTGTAAGACAGGAACAGATAACGAGGATATTTACTTCTCACACCCACTGGGAATTGAGTACAACCTTAACGAGTAACCACCTGTTGGCTATTATTGCTCTTAGCCACACTCTGATGTCGATGAGTAACGCGACTTTTGTCCCCGAACAAGAGAGGAATAGAAAACTTCACAGGTACGTTGTGGCTTGATGTTTCTAATTTTAAGCGCATACTATTACTCATTCATTTGTTTTATGCACATAACGATTTTATATTTTAGGCAGTCCACTAGAGTAAATTGGAGCAAAACGGACGAAGAACATGAAGAGATGTACACTCAGCAGCAGGCTCAAATTAAACAGGGCTGGTCCTTGTTAGCTACCCTGCATTGTGTCTTGTTACCAGATAAAGTAAATACTTTTCTAGGGTCTTATACAGGGTGTAACTTTCAGTGGGGTCATATTTATACCGGGTGCCCCATTTTAATTGATACACGTAAATATCTCGCCAGAGAAGCCACCAATCGAAAAATGACCTAGCGTAAAAGCTGTCCAGTTCACTGGGGGAAACCAGCTGCTTACCTAGGATTTGACCTTGACCTCACCTTGAAGGTCAATTGAGGGTCAACTTCGGAATTTTAAATGGGACCCTTTTTTTTAACCTTGGATTCAGCAGAAAATTTTACATCCGGATGTGATCATAACTTTGACCTGAGGTCAAGGTCAAGGTCATGAGTTTAAATAATTCGTCACCCATAATGCAGCCTCGGAATAAGATGTTGACCTTCAGAATCGACGGGATTTACATCAATGTACTCAATCATGACCTTCAATTCGTCCTTGACCTCCACTTTGTCAAGGTCATTTGAAGGTCGACTTTAGTAATTATAGGAAAAAATTATGCTACGAACGAGTGAGGGGTAAATAATATAAAAATATCTTGTTACTCAACGAAGGTATAACTTCGCTTGAAAATTGAAAAAAGAGATATCTGAGTACGTTACAAAGTAAAACTGACGGTGAAAAATTGAAAAAAAATAAAAATATCACACTACTATTTGTGAGCCATTGAATTATGTTGTCATTACGTTAGTATTCTGGATTTAAATCTTCACCTGATCTTCAAATGAATTTGTTTTTGATCCCTTATTTTGCAAACGTACTTGGATACAAATTTACCGTTTCCCAAGATCTGATCTAAGTAATACACGGCCTGGCAGAAAAGAAAACAAAGCGAACCTTCAAATTCAATCCCGAGCATCTTTCGCAACATTTGTTGAGTTGAAAGTCGATTTTTATAGTTGACTTTCAAATGACCTTGACAAAGTCGAGGTCAAGGACGAATCGAAAGTCGTGATTGAGTACCTTGATGTAAATCCCATCGATTCTGGAGGTCAACATCTTATTCCGAGGCTGCTTCAAGGGTGACGAATCATTTAAACCCGTCATGACCTTGACCTCAAGGTCAAAGTTGTGATCACATCGGGATGTAAAATTTTCTGCTGAATCCATTTCCAAGTAATGATGGGTAGTTCGCGAACGAACGAGTTAAAACGAACGATTCTTCATAGTGAACTAAAAGAACTAGTTCCCTGTTCTAAAACAAAGTAGTTCGCGTGAACTATTTGTGTCGATTTTGACCGATCTTATGTTTCGGTCTGTCAAAGCATATAGCAGCGCACAACGTATTCATTTCGTTCATTCATTACGTCTGCTCAACGAAACAGCTTCGAATCGAAATAGTTCGCGAACTAAAACAAAAACAAACAATTTTTCAATACATACGTATGATTGCGATGCGGATATGAGAAGGCAGGCGCACGGAATATAAAAGCGCATCTATAATTCCTAGGATTAGGAGTTTTAAAGTTAGAAAATCGAAAAAACAGTCTATTATTGTCAGCCATTCCTAGGAAAAAGTCTAATGAACATATATTGTAAGAAATTCCAGTGGCAAAACAGTTTATTCTACGTTAGATTATTAATATTGTGCATACAAACAAAAGCAGGAGAGGTAGGTACTTTAGACCGTTTTGTCTGATTGGTTGAATATTTACGAAAAAACCTATTATACATTAGACTATTTTGCCTTAGTTTAGATCATTAGATTTTTTTGACTTTAGAAGTAAATGAAAAAACGCGCAACAACTATTAGATTTAGCGCAAATGTAAAACAATGCAACCCGCTCATAAATATTACTAATTTGAAATTATTAATTTTTAAAACACAGTGGTATATACATTTGCTAGCTTATTTCAGTACTCCGCCCTCTAAATGTAAATGAATCTGCATGCACATTTGACCGAGACTCAACTATCGCAATCGCGCCTGGCAACGGGAGAACGAGAGATGGTTTTGCTAGTGACTCACGTCTTCGAATATCTAAAGTAGTTCACGAACTAGATTTAAGAATAGTTTATTTGGAGCAAGTAGTTCTCGAGAACTAGTTCACCGAAATGAACTATTATGCCCATCACTATTTCCAAGGTTAAAAATAGGGGGTCCCATTTAAAAAACAAATTATAACTCGACTAAATTAAAAAATAGAAAATTTCAGATTAGTATTCTGTGGAACAATTGAACCAGCTCTCATTTAAAGACACCTAGTATAATTTTGTAATGATTTCGTTTTTAGGTTGTTGAACACGGCGCCAAAAATTTTAAAAGACCACAAGTCGAAATGATGGCCAAAAGGTGGCAGCATCATTGCGTTGAGGTTAGGGAAGCCGCTCAAACTTTACTGCTGGCTGAATTGTCCAGGTAATTATTAATAGTTAATGTCTACCGTAGTACATTTAACAGTGTTTTATTTTTATCAGAATGGGTCCAAAAGGAAGAAAACAGCTGGTCGAGTCTTGGGCGCAATATCTGCCCCTGTACACACAAACCGAAACGATAAATCAACAGGCCAATTCTCCCCCATCCCTCCAAAATAACGGTAATAACACCGGCCAAGCACCGCAGACTCCGGACCCTGTCGTAAGTCATTTTTCCAAATTGTTATATTTCAAATGTGTAACGACTTTTTATTAGGATGAGGAATTCGAAGAAGAGGACGAAGAGCAAATTAGGAAACCTTCGAGTTTGTCCGAATTAAAAAGGAAACAATCGACTGCTGTTATACTGCTGGGTATTATAGGTGCTGAATTCGGCCAAGATATTACCGGCGGCGATAATAACAAGAAGAGGTCGAGCGAGGATCGCAGGAAAAGTTCAGTTGTCGAAGGATTTGGTAAGTCTTTTGAAAATTATGTTTCATCTAAAACCCTTCTAGGTGCTTTTTTTAACGCAATAAGTTATTTGCCCAGTATTTATATTTTATGCTTTACAAGGTAGAACATTGTTTTAAAATTTTTTTAAATTTGTTATTTAAAAATTCTATTAGTGGAGTAAAATAAGATTTTGATTTCGGTGTTAGAAACAACATATAAAAAGTTACCAACCGTAGAGTGTACTCTTGATTATTTATTTAACAAATTAGTTGCAAAATTCCATTGTTTATTGTATACAGTGTAGGAAAGTACCGATGGTCTATCAGAAGTTACGTGAGAGCGATAAAGTAAGCCATAGAAATCCATGTGATAGACAAGGATGGCTATAATGAAGGCGTCTAATAGTCAACGCCCATTTCGCCCTTCCACAAATAAGAAGTGGATCTTAAAGTCCAATAACTTTAGTTCAAAATATGATATTGCAACTTTACAGGAGCATTTTTTGAAGCTTGAAATTTGTATTTTAAGACTGTCCATTTTGTTATATTTAAAACGTTGAATCTATATTAAAATTTAAAGAAAAACAAAAAAAAATTTTTTCTAAAACGATGAAATTTGTTAAATAAACTAAAAGTTTTTTTTGCTTGTTTAACCAATATATTTTCAAACTATGATCTTACAAAAAGTATAATCAATGAAAAAATATAAAAAATACAGTTTTTCAATAAATTGTTACGAGATTCAGTTTTACCTATATTTTTTCATGATGACATTATGTAGTAGAAGTTTATCTGGTAATGTAATTCATTCTCGTGATTCGAGAATTATATTTTTGAAGATTAGAAAGAGTTAGAGAAAACATCTGCTCGGTGAATGGAGCTCACCTGGTGAGGAGGGAAGGGAGAATGTTGATTTCATTTTATATTTGTTCAATGATCTGAAAAATCCTAAAAATATCAATATGAGTAAAATTACTTTGAAAATTTAATTTTTAAATAAATTGTTTAAAAAAGTCGGCCATATTGGATCAGTCATTTTGAATTTTCATTTTCTGACATAATATTCTTGTTCAGCGACTTCTAAAACCCCTATAATATCAATTTGATTAAAATTGCTTTGAAAAGTGTCATTTCTTAATAAATTGTTTAAAAAAAAGTTGGCCATATTGGATCAGCAATTTTGAATTTTTATTTTTTAACATTATATTCTTATTCAGTACATTTAAAATAATCTTTGAAGAACCATTTTTTATTATTTAAACAATTAAATAATAATTAGCGTACAAATATAAGTTTATAACCTTTTTCTATAAGCCATTTCAAGGCAATTGCAAAAATTGTTTTATGAAAATCCAAGGCTCTGCTAATTATTTCGAAATAATGCATATTTTTAAGCTACCTTTACTCTATATGTAAAGTAGATTTAAATTTCTTTTTTGATGGAAAGTTGGTCCAGAGCTTTCATAAATGATTACTCTGGCTGTGATCGGTGTAATTTTTCATTAGGTTCTATTCAACCAAACAGTGATCGCATTATCTCGAGCACAGGCATAATCAATGTTCCCTTTAATTTTTTTGCTGACTGCGCAATATAAAAATATATGGGCGCAAAAATGTTCAAAAATTTTTTAGACCCTCTAAATGTTACTTTTTTAGTGAAATTTGGATTTTTGCCATTTTTAGATGCAATTGATTTATAAAATGAAATTTTAAAAAAGTGGTGGACAAACCCATTGTGCGCAGAATGCAAAAACAGCTGCGCAACTTGCGAAAAATTAATGCGCACACCCGTGCAGCTTTGAGGGAATTTTGGGTGTAATGGTTTGTTACTGTTCATTATAGACGAATCAATATTTTTCGTTGCAGTACCAGTCGTGCAATGTTGGGTTGCCTAAGCTCGGCGTCCACATGGCATGTGAACATTTACGAAAGCTTTGTAGCATTGTACTCTACTCTGATGCGAAATTTGAGCGAAATCTGTCAAATAATTTGTTTACAGCTGTTAATTTTGTTAGTTAGTCCACTTAAAGTGTGTTCTGCGATTTTTACTATGGATAATGTTATTGACAAAGAGTTTGCCTAAAATTTTGTGCTACCAAGAAAATTTCTTTCAACATTAATATACAGAACATATCAATTTTTTTTTCTACTGTAGGTCCTGGAAATAACAATTTAGCAAGACTGACTTCAATGGCATTATCTCATTTGCTACTGGCTCCGCCATCTCCAAAACTACCTGCACACATTCCACTGAGAAGGGCCGCCATAGATTTGATCGGTAGAGGTTTCACCGTGTGGGCCCCTTTTTTAGATATTAGTAAAGTATTATTAGGTGAGATATAAAAAAAATAAAGGAAATTATGTTTAAGTTTTCGAGTAAATTCAAATCGTAGGTCTCCTAGAATTGTGTTCAGAAGCAGACAGATTGGTTCCGAGTATGACTTACGGTTTACCTTTAACACCACAAGCAGACTCGTGTCGGACTGCTAGGCATGCTTTAACACTAATAGCTACTGCTAGGTAAGGATTAAGTGTAGGGGAAAACTTTAATTACACTTCAAATATGTATTTTTAGACCAGCGGCATTTATTACCACAATGGCGAAAGAGGTGGCACGGTACAACGCAATGCAACAAAATGCACAAACTTTAAATATTAACATGAATAATAATGTTCTGCACAAGGCAAAACCGGAGATATTGCGAGGCGTGGAATTATTGATAGAAAAAATGCAAAACGAAATGTCTGAACTTCTCGTAGAGGTAAACTTACATTCGACGGATATATACTATTTTTCATTCTTACGTTTTATAGTTAATGGATATTATTCTTCATTGTTTGGATCCTAGTCAATTAAAAAATAAAGGTTTACAGGAAGTTTTTCCAGCAGTTTGCAGGTTTAATCAAGTCTCTCACTGTCCCGCAACAAGGAGAATAGCAGGTAAGTCTTTATCCACTTTAAAGTTCATAAGTTGTATGATTTGAATGATTTGGAATATTTCAAGATCGATTGCGTAATTATTGTTTTTAGTTGGCTCTCATATAGGGTCATTGACCCTTTACGAGCTTCGTCAAGGAAAGTGTACCACAATTCATGCACATTCGTCTGCCGTTACAGCCCTTAGTTTTAGTCCCGACGGTAAATTCCTGGTTAGTTACGCCTGTGGCGAAAATAAACTTAGTTTTTGGCAGACTAGTACAGGTAAGTGTTTAGTGATATTTTTACAGCTTTGTTCTTATTAATTTACATGCACCATAATCAGCTAGATCAGGTCGGCTTTGTAATAATAGTCTGTCGAATCAGTAAAATTTCAATTGTTTACATTATTGGCATAACATCAGTAATGTAGCGAATCCATTGTTATTATCTGGAAAAGCAAATGTCAAATTGTAAATGTCAGTATTTGACATTTGATTTTGACAGTTCAACAATTTAAGAAGGTATCCAGTTTTCAATAGTACTTATTAGCCCAGTCGGGTTGTCATTTAACCAGGAAAAAATTAGGGACCACAATTTTATTGTTCTAACCTTTAGGGGGGGTCAATAGTAGTGTAAATTCAGAATCGCGACTGAATTCC